ACAAGTTAATTTTTATATCCACTAAAACGTTGCTTGTTTACACTCAGGTTCACATTTGTGAAGTGGAATCACTTGGAAACATTGTTGGTTCGCAAGTAGGCCATTGTAGCTGGGTCATGTCCGGTACGATAAAGGTAGCTGTCAAGTTATTAAAAGCAGGCGTCGATAAGAACATTGAAAAGGAGTTCATGAAGGAAGTACGAGTAATGGCACGGCTGCAGCACGATAATGTTGTACAGCTGCTGGGAATTTGCGAAGAGGAACCCAAATGCATGGTTGTGGAATATATGGAGAACGGAGACTTAAATCAGTTCTTGCATAACTACAGCTTTTCCAATGAAGCCTCAGGACTGGACGACATTCCGTCAAATATTCTTAACGAAGAAACCTTGTTGTATATGTGTATGCAAATTGCCAGTGGTATGCATTATTTGTCCTCTCAAGGTTTCATTCATCGTGATCTGGCGACAAGAAACTGTCTTGTCGGTCACTCCTTCACTGTAAAGGTTTCAGATTTTGGTATGTCAAGGTATCTTTATTCAAAGCAGTACTACAGAATCGAAGGCAAAGCTGTTCTTCCCATCCGATGGATGGCTCCAGAAAGTCTTTTTTACGGTACGTATTGCATGAAATTCGGTCGCTCTGGTCTTTATTAGGAATTTTGCATACTGAAATAGCTCTACAGTATTTATTGGATTTTAAGCCGTGGCTTATAAATATTTTTTGGTACGTTTTGCTGCGGTTTACAATCACGATCGGCTTATTGACGAGGTCGGCTTGTAAACGAGGTCGGCTTGTAAACTAGGTTTGCTAATAAACGAGGGCGTCTCATAAACGAGGGCGGCTTATAAACGAGGGCGGCTTATAAACGAGGGCGGCTTATAAACGAAGGCGGCTTATAAACGAGGATGGATAACATTATCCTGCCGAGCTTTCCTGCTACCTTGAAGCGGAGGGTGATAATGAAGAAGATGACGAAGAATTACTATTGGACGCTATTGATGATCCCATGCTGGACGATATTGTTGTTGGTTGAAATTCTTATGTCTTTTTTGTTGTTTAAGTGCACAGTCAGGATTTTATCAGTTTTGCATCCGTCTTTTCAAACCAAGTATCTCTGCATGGTTTTGTGGGTGCGGCTTATAATCAAGGGCGGCTTACATTTTTATGAACCCAATCTGCTGGGGTTTATAACCGAGGGCCGCTTAAAAACAAGGGTGGCTTATAATCGAATAAATACGGTATTCAGTCTCCATCTATTCTTAGATTTAGTATGTTCATGTTAGTTGCTATGTGGTCGCTTTAATGATCCTTCTCAAAATGTCCCAACGCATTTGCTGGCCATTTAAATTTCCCATTGGTTGGACTACACAATAGACCTATTGTTATGTTACGTAACCAATCGGCAACGTCAGGCTAATTCCCATTGTTCTCTCGATCATAAACGGAATGGAAACCCTATTGTTAACGCTGAACGGTTGACTGATGGGACATTTAAAGCCAATCTGTCTCGTTGTGGATTGGTTAACGAGAACAATAGCTGGAACAATAGCCTAAACACGATTCCAGCGCTCCGCCATATTTTTTACAATGCGATAAATTAAAGGGGGACTGGAAACAATAAAAAATCCCTTTGTTCTTATAATCAATCAACGTTGTGACAGATTGCCTTTAAGGAGATTCAAGAAAAAAGCAGTGCGTTGAACACGATGTAGCTTTCAGTACCATCATGAGGCTAAACTGTGTAGTATTACCTTTATTTTACATTTGTAGCCGATTGCTCCCTCTTTTGAAAAAGGGGGTTCGAATGTTCATTGTAAAGTTGAGTTTTTTAGAACTTTTCTTATTCGAGCTTAGTTTAAGTTGGATTAGCATGTTTGATGATTTCATGAGAGTTTTGAAATTTAAGCTACATATATAAAACGCCGTGGTTATTGTTCCGGCACCGGATCTCGTTACATTTTCGCTATTCATCCGGCATGCATGCGCATCGACTATTGGCGCATGTTTGTGTTATCCGGCATGTTTGTCAGATATCTTTATTGAAGAGCATTTTGCTTTGATAGGCCAAGGTCTTTTGCTTTAGGCCAAAGTCTTTTGCTTTGATATTCACCAACAAAACACTAATGTTCAAATTATTTTGTTTGAATTTTTTCGACAGAATTTTTGTCAGATAATATTTAAAAGAAAAGAACAACTAAAAGTCATCTAAAATTCGCGATTTGCCTTTGTTGGGGTTCAGGGGGAGGGGGTTGTCAGCTGTAGCAAATTCTAAAATCTAGAGAAATGTATGCTGAAGAAGCATATATTTATAATTGAAAGAAGCTAATATTTAAGAAAGTTACTACTCATGGATTACTACAAATTGTGTGAAAGTTGTCTCTTGAAACTTTGTGAAACTCTCTTTCAAAGCAGCGAAACTTGCGAATTCTTCACCGACTTTGAAAAGATCCATCATCGACCGAACTATCCAAACTTGTTGACTTCAAGACGAAAACAAGCGCCAAAATTGTTTTCGAAAGTATGCGCAGGCGTCAGAGTGTGTACATGCGCAAATAGTCGATGCGCATGCATGCCGGATGAATAGCGAAAATGTAATGAGATCCGGTGCCGGAACAATATCCACGGCGTATATAAAAAGCATCAGAAAAGTTCACGTAGTAACAACTGAGTCTTTGCTTGTAACAATGTCCAAAGGTAGTTCATATTGTAATTCTGTCTTCTTTAGGGACTTTCACAAGCCAGTCTGATATCTGGTCCTTTGCTGTCACAGTTTGGGAGATGTTTACGTTTGCAAGGGAAACGCCATACAGTCATCTTAGCGACCAGCAGGTCATTGAAAACGCCTGCTCTGTGGTTGCTAAGCAACGCAGAAGTTTCCGATACCTGCCTAAACCTGATGGCTGCCCAAGCAACGTATATGAAATGATGCAAAGATGCTGGGAAAGATCGCCATCAGAAAGGCCGACCTTCACTGACCTATTTCAGTTCTTTCAGTCGATTGTTAATAGTACCGAAGCCTCTGTCTAACTCCACCGCCTCGTGTCTAACTCCACCGCCTCGTGTCTAACTCCACCACTTCGTGTCAAACCTCCCTCCGAATGAATGCTCCCACATAAGCATTGAAAGTCTAAATAACGCCCCGGGCTTTTTTAAAGTTTATATGGTGTATTGATGCAGAGTTTTGAAAGTGAAATGGTTCATACAAAGCTGGTTGGTATTGTTCTGCAACTGGGAAAGCCTTGTCTTGCTGCATGACAAAATTGTATGTGGCATATTATATACCGTTCTTCTGTTTATCATTCCAGTTTATGTAAGCAGGCTTATCCCCCTGTAGGCGTCATTAATGAACACTATTGTTGTAACGTTGTCCAACGGGAATTTTTCCCACATTTTCTTATCGCTGTTTTTGCTCGTCCATCCAATTTCTAAATCGATTTAAGGTTAGGTTTTAGCGATCATTTCTGTGAATGAACAAAGTACATAGGGTTTATATGTGCCAGTGGTATTGGAAAAGTTTAAAAGCTGACAGATAACTGTCAAGGACATTGTGTACCTAAACACCACATGGCCAGAGCTCAGTAAGCTTTAGCCAAAATTGCAAGAAACTTAACAAATAAAAGAAGTCCTTGTTTTTTCCTGATAGGGTGACTTGTTCTGCTCTTTTATCTAGCATTATTGTGGTAGTTCCTCAGAAGTTTCACTGCTTTTTAAAACTTTCCTTTAAATAATCTTTCGTTGCAGAAAATTATGAATTTAGTCACAATGTCTTGCTTTATCAGCCTTGAAACATTTTATATTTAATCAAATCAGATATATCCAACTTTATATGTAATTCTATTTTGTCAACAAATTTTAGCCTGCAGCAGTGTATTTTCGCCGACAGATTTAATATAACTGTTGAACTGAAAATAAGTATCATTTAGTGACTTCGACGGATATTAGTGTTAAAATGTTGAGACATTTTTTTCTTTATCAAAGGAGAGAATTGTCTTTTTACATCTAAATATTAATAAAATTATTTGCTACAGTTTGTAGGGATCACAAAATGTTATTCGCTTTGTAAATCGAACGTATAATAAGACTTTGTATCATAGCGTTAATGCAGAATTCGTTACAAGTATAACGAGCTATTTTTTTTAAATTTAACCAGTTGCAACTTCTGTATTTAAATTTTTGAGTAAATTTTATAATGTCCAAATGTAACTTTCTTGTTGTATCTCCTTTTTGCTTGATCTGAGTGGCAAGAAACCCTGTGTTATCATGAGTGCTTTAGCGATAGTGAGCCAGAAGGCTATTTCTTGTACACAACATCCGGTAGTGTAGAGCCGAGAAAAATGTAAGGGGGGGGGGCATAGCGCTTTCATTATATTGTATACAAAATGAATGTTTCAGTTGTTTTCGTTTACGATCGTCATGTTAGTGAAAAAGTAAGATCAAATTTTGGTGGGAAAATAAAACGATGGCCTCAGGAAATAAGCAGAATGAATATATATAATCAGGCAAAAATTTTGTTTGGAGAAAGTTTACTGGAAAAATTTTTCTCAGAAGTGCCAAAAATGTTTATCTTTGGGCACTGGTAAAAGCGCAAAATATGGATAAAGCTAAGCAAATGGTCATAGAGTTTTTACGCCAGGCAGCTCATTAGTGTGATGAAATTGCATAGCAAGTGGGCTACACGAAGTCTACTACTCAAATGATTTTCAACTCATGTAAAAAAGCAGTTTACCGGAGAAAAAGTAGAGAACAAGCAGGTCAAAAGGTTCTCTTATAGGAACCAAAGAATTATAGCAAGGTTTGCTAAGAAGTTCTTGTCAATTTCAAAGGAGTAAAAATAGCAAGACACCCTGAAGTTTTGTGACCAAAATCGGCTAGAAAACTTAATTGGGCACTTTCTATCGAAATTGTAAATTGTGCCCTAAGAAGAAAGCCTGATTTTTCAGTAAATAACTGCACTCACCGGCAAAACATGAGCTAGGCACATCAAAAAATTTGCATATCAAATTTTGGTAATTTGAAAAGCTGTAACGAAATTGTTAGTTTAAACAATGTATACACGATTTGATTGACAATTTTTCATTAATTTTCAAAACATTTTAGGATTTAAAGAAACTGTAAAGAGGAGTTCATGAAATATGTCAGCGACCATTTTTATGGTCGTCGGCAACCATCTTTATAGTCATCGGCACTTGAATTTTTCTAAGATTATCGGTACATCGATTCGTGGTTTGGTTTCTAGCGCCACCCCTGTCAACAACTGAAAAGTAAACTTATCTAAAGTTCTTCAAGCCTGTAAGCCAAACGTAGCTAGTGGAGTTGCTATGGAATGGAAAGTCAGTAGAAAACAGCCAACGTGATTTTATTTTTCCGGAATTTCTGTAAATGATGATTAGAAATTATTTTTGAGTGTCTCACTGTATGTGGTATTCAATTCAATTTTGTTTAGGCAAATAAGTCGAGTCCCGCGAAGAATGGGATTCCAGTAGGAGAAATATGGCGGTGTTTGTTCAATAAATGCTGTAAATCTCAGCAGCGCTGGTATGTTGAGCTTTTTAAGTTAGTAAGGAGACTTTAAGCATTGAATCTCTGATTTATACAGGAATCTGTTGCTTTGACTGGGGCTTTCAATCTACTACGGATTTAGGCCAGGCCCTTGTATCCGATCTCTAATTTGAACAAATGGAAAGTTTATGTATCAAAAACCTACAGCATTTGCCTTGAATGAGACAGTGCCACATCCATCCATATTTTGTTGGCAGGCAAATTCCTATACATTTGATACTTTGTTAAACAACCAGAGTGGACATATCACGAACACTTGTTGTCAGTGATGAAGTTCTTTTGTCATCATGCACTTGCTGTTCTTTTGTTTTTGTTAAACGTAGAACAGAAAAGCAAACTGTGTCACCAGTGACAGCGATATGTATTTTGGTCCTTTACTATTGGTACTTTTTTATATAACGGTACTATTGGCCCTTTAACAAAAAAAGAAAGAAAAAGACTTGCACTGAAGCAATTGTTTTAATCACAGAAGGTGCTGACAGCAACAAAGAGGACGAACCTCAGATTCAGATTCAGAATCCACCCATCCTCATTTTTTTGCTTTATATGAAAATTTGCTTTTTAATGGACTCTCAGTTTTAATGGAATTTTTTTTTCATCTGGTATCTTTTATGCTATATTCACATTTTTATACTTACATGTACGCCTGTTGTATCGGCTTTTAGTTTTTAGTGGGGAAAGGAGGATTTTCTTGTCCAATCCCATCCCAATATAATCATATTTGAGGTTTTATTGTAACTTTCCTTAAGTAACCTCTTTCCTTTAGGTCTATTGTAGGTTGTGCAGTTTGCTCTAATGTAGCAGTAACAAAACTGGGTTTCAATGATTTTGGCTCTGCCCCCCCCCCCCTTCTGGCGTTTTGGTGAGGGAATTTGAGGTTTCAAACCCCTGATATGTTGAGTCTGTTTTCTTATCAAAAAAGGAAAATAATGTAGACTTGGGCATAGGTATAGTGGTGGTTTTGATAGCCATGACAAAATTAATTCAAAATTCTACAATCCTCATTCATTTCATGCCGACACAGCCTCTTGATCTGGCAATCAAAAAGGTGTCTTGATTGTCGACACATCAACATCCTGGTTCTGAGACAGGAAGTTAAATATTGCAGCTCTACGGCTCACATAATTTCTAATAATGAGGAAGGGGCTGCTACTACAATGCGTTCTTATGGCAGGGCTGACCTGCCTCAGGTGTTTATCATGCAGTCCCAGCAACATTCTTTGGCTACTGCATAATTAAGAATTACTTTCTAATATTGGGGCCATTGGAGACACATAGAGGCTTGATAATTTTACCTTCTGAGAATCTCCCATCACAAGAAACAGATAACGAAAATAAGTTTTTCTATTTCTTTCCCGCAAATCAATGAGAATGTCTCGTAAACAATAACAATCTTTATTAGAGATGTCTTTGGGTATGACCTTACATTGTTTAATAAAGGTAAAAGTTGTTCTTGTGTTTTACCAGTTGAAAATATCAAAAAAACTCGAGAAACAACCCAGTGCATGACAGAACCAATTTGATTCATGGTAATTATTTTGTTCACAATTTTGTTTCATGCACTGTTTCATACATTTTCAAGGGAGATTGAAGGCAAAAGAACTTCAGTAAAAGACTTCTGACACTCAAAGCCTCAATCACAAATCAAAATCAGGGTCTACAAAAACAAACATTGAGGGCCACTACCCCTCAGAGGGAGAGTAAAAACACTAATAACACAGTAAGCCGCCTCTGGCTGATGGCTATGGCTTTTTTCTGAGGGAACTTTTTGTCCACCTTCTTGTATTGTAATTACTCCGATGTTGGAAAATTGAATTGTGCAAAGGCTATACAGGCCTCTCCGTTTAAGGCGTGCGATCACGCCCGCGCGCCTTGGCACGCTCCTCTCGTTGCCGAGACTCGCAATAAATCACGCGCCTGGTTTATAAGAACCCTTTAAATCGCGCTCCTTGTGTTTTAGTTTTGAACAATTATTATAAAAAGAGCCTTGCGGATTCGAAATCGATTGATATCTAAATAAACGGTTGCTTCTTTTAATCCCTTTTTCGAGGAAATTGTTATTGCCAAGTTAAATCAAACACCTCTTGAATATATTTCCGGTCAATAACCAATAAACTGTCATTGTGATTCCTGATTGTTATAAGTTTTTTAAATGGCCATTAATTCAAAGGACCAAGCCATACATAGAGCTATCTGCTTTCGCAAGTATCGCAAGGACGAAGTTAGCAGATCAAAGACCGAAGATAGGAATGGGAAGACAATGGTGGTTTCGATTTGGTGTAAAGTTTACTCAAAACACAAAAGCGTTATTTTATCAAATCGTCTTTGTAAAGGAAGTGCCAGGAAAGCAATTGAATCATACGTCAATGGAACGAATTTCGATTCTTCCACTTTTTCTGACTCTGATTCTTCATTGGAATTTGAGCTGGACATTGACGAACTGCAACAATAATGTGTTTTTTTTCTTTTAGTGCTCTATTAAGTAGTTTGTTTAGATATTTCTAGATACAAAGTATTTACATGCGAAAACATGCGGTTTTTGTCTACTTTAACGTAAATATATTTTTTTGGTAGAACGCGTGCCTTAGCAACGTTTGAGCACGCGCCCGCTAAAATGCTCACGGAGAGGCCTGCTATAGTTGTAATATTTTCTTTATCACTCACTGACCTTATTCATTTGCTTCACTTTTCAGACTTTTGTTTCACTAATGTATTATATTGTATGATATGATGTAATTTAGCAAGTATGGATTATTGTTTTAGAGGTTTTTTAGTAGCTTCCAAGGAATGAACCCTTTGGGGGATAAAACGGATATTTTGTAGGTCAGAGGCACAGCACTCTGCTAGGTAGCCTCTATGAACTGATGTGATTCTGTAGACTTAAGTCTTCTAGGGCCTTAAATTTGCAATATCAGATAATATGCAATATCTTACTGAATTTTTCAATAACATGCATTATGCGGCGACAAAGGCTAGGTAAGGTTGGAACTAAAACTAAAAGCTAGGTATGGCCAGTACACAATTTGGCCCGAAAAAAGTTGTTGCTTATTGCAAAACAGAGATGTTGCTTATTGAAAAGCACTTGAATCAATATCTAAAAATACACTGGTCTTCATCCTATGCATTTTTGGAAAAAATATGAGATTGTGCTTATTAAAGATTGTGCATATCATGTTGCAAACTTTATGGCCCCCGGACTCTTAATGTCTGCTAGATCATTGTTTTGTAAACAAAAGTAATATGTAAAATCACTGGGAATTTGCGTCTATGTAAAACACTCTTTCTAAATAAGATATCTACAATAGTTTGTGCTAATAAGTACAAGTTTAAATTAATTGTTTCAGGATTACCTATAATGCTGATGTGGTGAAAAACAATATTTAAAGATGTTGAAAAGGCCTGCAAGTCCTAGTAATATTCCAGCCCCAGTGCACAAAGATGGCAGTAATTCATCAAGAACAAGTCCAAGAACACCAAGGAAACTGCCACAAACATGTGTGCCAGTACCTAAAACAAAGATACCATTGAGTGAGACAAAGATACCTACCCCTGTACCTGCAAGAAAGCAAAGTTCTTCAACAGAGCCAGATGCTAATGGTATTTAGTTTATTACTTGTTGCCTCTTTTTGTAATTCAAGATTTACTTACAAAAACTTAAGTGAAGTAAATTGATGTTGAACATTGTTATAAAACTTTGTCAAGCATCTATTATATTTCTTGTCAAAAGGCCTAAAGATTTTGCTCTGAATCTGATCTATAATGCAGTTTAAAAAGTTTTCTTCAGTTTTTGAAATGATAATGTCTTATTTTGTATTTATTATGTAGAATTAAGGAGCAAACACTAATTGAGGAGACCCTTTTTTGTTTCTGTTACAGGTGAATTAAGAGATGAAACACAAAAGTCAGGGGTTGTTTATATGACAGAGAATTTGATCAGAAAAATGGCAAAAGAGGATGACCTTCGCAAAATTTTTAAACTTGTTATTATGGTGCCTAAGGACCTTAATAAGAAAATTAAGGTATGTAGTTAAAAGAAGCTATTTACTATGACCATGAAGAACTCATGTTATGCAATCAAGACTTTCAGCAAACAACTGTTGGGCACCTGTTTGACTTTTAGCCTCACTTAAAGCCTGGACCAATGTCTACTAATTTGTGATGTAACTTTTTAATTATGTTGTAAACCTGCTGAACTCTAAACAGTGTAAAGTAAACCAAAAGCAGCCAAGAAGGCTTTTCATCCTGAGTGTACTAATTCATTATCAATGTGAACTGAGCAAACAGGTAGTAGAGTCAGGGGCAGATGCTTGGTCAAATATTGGGGGGGGGGCAAGCCTATTGTTTTGATAAGATGACATCATTGTTTTAGTACAAAATTCCATTGCCCCCCAGGTGTTTGCCACTGAGCAGTGTAGCAAATCGTGTTCAGTTGACCCATAGGCTATCTTCGTGTATAAGTTGTGTAATCAGGCCATTTGTTGTATAGAGCAAGGTGGTTCTAAGTTGCTACTCTGAGTTTCATGCTTAATTTCCACTGCTGACTGATGACTGTGAAGCTCAAAGTAGCAACTTGAAATATTCCTGTTCTATTCGCTGAATAGCTTGTACAGCTCTGTTCTATATGGTATCAAGCATTTTATGACAAGCCTGTAAACAGTTATTTTCATTAAGTTGTGTTTAAATGGAAAAACTCACAATTTTAAGAATATTTGGGCCTGCATGCAAGTCTAATCATTCTTTTTGCCTTTCTTGCAGTACATTGAGAATCTGGATCCCCTAGCAAATTTGCAGATACTTTCAATCGCACATAATATGATAGAGAAAATGGAAAGAATGGATAAATTAATGAACCTTCAGATTCTTGATTTGTCTGATAACCTTCTCAGGAAGATCGAAGGAATTGAAAATCTTCACCAGTTAACAATACTGAATCTTGAAGATAATCAAATTGAGAACATACCTGTTTTCATTGGCAAAAAACTGAAGTGTCTTCGAACTTTTAAAATCGCACGGAATCAGTTAAAATCAGTAAGTGTTTTCGCTCTTATTCACATATGGCGAAGTAGCATACCTAAATTGTTAAGGAGTAAGCCTCAGGGTCTTTCAAAACTGGTTGCTCAAGAGGGATATATTATTTTAGAAGGGGGGGGGGCTGCTTCAAAGCTTCACATTCTTTAGGAGGGTGGCTTATTTGACAAACAAAATATCTTTTGAAAACAGCAAGATTTGTGGCTCGAAAAACTAAATAAAAAATTAAATTGGTAAAAAGGATTTTTAAAATGGATACAGTGGCACGAATGCTAAAAATTCTGTAAAGATGCAGCATTCAGTTTGATCTTTTTTTAACCTTGAAAGCATAGAATGGGGGCTTTATCAGATCATTATGGTATATATAGACATTTTCTGTTTCAAAATATTTCGGAAACTGTCAATTTTTGTGAAGAATGTTAGATATTTATTTGGAAACTCATACTTTGGTTTCACTGAGATACTTGTAAAATTAGTAAGATTTGATTGAATGCTAACTTCCCTTTTTTTATAGCTACATGAGCTGTACAAACTTCGAAGTCTTCCAGATCTTGTCAAACTCACAGTTGCTGATAATCCTGTATGCACATTGCAGCATCATAGAGAGCTTTCTATTTTCTTATTAAGATCATTAGAATCTCTTGATGGTTTCAATGTTACAGAGGTGGAGCGGGAGAATGCTGATCAAAGATTTCAGCAAGGTTTGGCCAGAATTTCCATGATCTTACTATTGTTTTCAATCCTTCCAATGTGTACCCTTTCGAGAGGTAGGCAGCAATGTACGAAAAAGCCTTTGCTCAAGTGATCTTTATTAAAAATCGCTCAATAATGGCATTTATTTGGGCTGTTTCATTTGGCCTTGCTGCGACTAGTGTAAGCTGATTAAGCTGAAAGGCCTCTAAAATGGAATAGAATATGTTCTATGAGGCAATAGGGAGCCAGAAGAAAGTGTGTGTCTGCGTTTATTTGAAAAGGTATATAACTAGATAAGATTTGTTTTGGTACTTTTTAATACCTGAAACTTTACATTCGAACTTGTAGGATCAAATTCCTTTAAAAATTCCTTCAACTGCTAAAAAAGTTAGAAAATGCTTTCATTTTGACAGAACCATGTTACTTGGTTATGCTCGATGAATCTAAAAAAGTTACTGTCTTTCTTTTCAATAAAACCGTTAGAAGAGATACGCTATCTTGAAGTGGAGCTAGAAAAGGTAGAAAAAAGGCTGCTGCAATCCGAGGCTGAAAGAGAAAAGGCTGAGCAGTATGTACAAATGCTTGAACAGAATGACATTAACTTGAAGAAAGATAAAAAATTACTAAAGCAAGAAGTGAGCGGTTTGCAACAAGACGTAGATGCCAAGGATTCGTTGGTATGTTTGCTACAATGCTGTTTGTTTATGTCAGGTTTTCATGAGGCTGCTTAGAAATCTTGTGACGAGTCTTAAGACCATTTTAGACTAATTAAAAAATGTGGCCAGTGTAAGCTACCTTTAGCTGGTTGAAATGGTATGTTCTCGTTTGTTAAAGTTATGTAACGTAATAAGTCAATGTAGGCCTACATGTGTATTTACCTGCAAAGTAGCTGTTTAATCATTTACATGTTATAAGCCTCATTGCTTCATTTCTGACTGACAAAAACTTTGCCTACAGTTCAAGAGGGACGGTTTTACGATTTTGCGCCATCTCCCATTTCAATTGTGACATATCCACTATTAAAGTACGTAAGCACCAACTCTGTCGCACACTATGACAGACCATTATTACAGCAATTTTCTTTAAGCATCTACTTTGAATGGGCAGAAGGAGTAGATGTTGGACTAGACATCCCTGGTTATGTTTCAAGATTTCTTTCAACTGCCCAAGATATTGATGCCTACTTAGCAATCACTTTATTGATTTCATTTGTCCTTTGTTTGTCGTACTTCTCTGTTCGATTTTCTCTGCAATAAGCGACTTCTTGATTATGGGGTCCATCAATCTTGTATAAGATGCAGATATTCTCCAATCCTCCTCTTATAGCTGGAGCGAAAAACCAACGAACTCAGCAAAGCATGTGAAAAGCAATACAAGCTGGAGCAGGAACTAGCCTTCTACAAACTAGACACAAAATTTGACGAATTTTGGAAGTTTTCAGGATACGAAGGAGAGGTTGGTTTATTATTTTCATAACACCATTCGTTGAATTAAGTCAATCTACTTTATCATTTCCACAAGAGATTTAGAGCGTAGAAGAGATTATATGGGAGAACGCTAGGAAGGAAAAGACTATGCCCTTGATAGGATACGTAAAAAAGGGGTGTTCGTAGTCATTGTAGTTTTCCTAACAAATTTATGTGCGACAGTGATGCATCTCAGGAGATTGGCACTTGATTAAGTTGCTAGACGTAACTCTATCAAAATCGATGGATCGTTATAGATTTAAGGGAATGGATGATAGTCCCTAACCCTCGGAGGGTTGTCATATGATAACGCATGCTAAGATGTGTAATTTGAATAGTTTATTTTTAAGGCAAAAAATTTGTATTTGCTTATTGATTCTTCCATAAATCATGCTAATGGATTATGTTTTACAAATACGTGTAAATGTACAAAGATTATTAAAGGAGTTTATTGTTAAAGGGTTTATTGTTAAATCTATTGTCACCTTTTAGAACCTCAATGGTTTTAGTCTGAGCAACAAAAAGTATCGGAACCTGGAAACTACTATCCCGGTCATAACTGTTGAGAGAAAGGCAATTTCTGCAATTTTCTACTTTACGTTTTCCCTATAATATCAAGTCCCCCTATTCCCCCGAATAAAAAGTGGATAAATGCTCCTATTTTTTGTGTTAAAAAAGCATTCATTCAACATTGAATCGGGGGAGGGGGAAATTTTTTTTAAAGGAAAGAGAAAAAATCAACTTTTCTTGATAAGTCTCAACAATCCGGGATTCCGGGATGTCCTGGAAAATTTCACGTAAATAAAACATGGTACCAGCAAAATTTACTTTTTGAGATTAAAGTAGAAAACCGTTCCTTGGCAATATCTTTTACAAATAAAGCTTTGAAGAATTTGTTGTGACATATTCAAAGCAAATCTAAGGGATTAAGAATAATGTTCAACGCTCTCTGGTATTTCATAAGAATAATAAGACATTCATTTTTAAATTGAATTATAAAATATATCTGTTTGTAGAGTGTTTTGAAATATATAAAAACAGTTTTAATACAATTTTGTTGCGAAGCCAGATATCGCTTTGGTGAATATTTAGAATTTTGTTGTTGATTAGCTCAATACTTTTGTTATTATCATCGTAAATTAACGTTGCTTATGAAGTAGAATTTAAAACCAAAGATCTGACCGATAGAACAATATGTTATTTCTAGTTTGATATTTGTTCATTAAAGATCCTTTTTTGCTCAGATCTCGAGTGATAATTTTGAAGTGCATAGAGGTTTAGTTACGGCTATATCCGTGCGCTAAAGTATATCATATCTAAAGCTTGAATCCAACAAACATTAGCTTTCTTCTTCAAACATTTATATTAACTTAAAATTCCTAATGAGTACTTTGTTTTGAATATTTATTGAGATATGTAGCACAATGCATTCATACAGTAGAAAATTATTTCCCACATAGTATGTTAACAAAAAATAGAATCTTTTTGTGATTTGTTGAATTGGGCACTTAACTTTATAGAGAGTGATAGATTTTTAGCATAAAAGTACTCAACTCATTGAATTTAAAATAATTCGAAGTTTGTTTCATTAAAGTTTGAATATTTGAACTTATAACATTACAAATAAACTTAACTTTATATTTGAAACTTTTCTTTATAAATTATGGGAGATTTTTTTGCATGCAGGTGTTTGACTCATTGAGGTTAACATAATATGAAGATTTTAATTTTAAGGTTTGAATAATTGAACTTAAAAATTGCAGCAAGATGAGGGTGAATACATCGACGAGGATCAAAGTGCTTATATTGGGAAAGCGCGGTTTAAACCAAATTCAATGGCCAAGGAAAAAATTCTTCCATCGAAAGCCCAGATGATCAATTTGATCAAAATTGTGAGGCGGAAAGATGGAGATGCGAATGAAATAAATCAAAAAATTGTCAGAGATCTTGAAGAAGCTTTGAATGTGGACTTAGAAGAAAAGCAAAATGCCATTGCAGAAGGTTAGGCAAAGTGTTTCTTCAGATAATTTCAAAATAAAAATGCTTGTATTAATAAGTAAACACGTCCACAAGACCCTGACTGCAGTTCCCCTTTTTTCGCTCCATCGACAAGAATGGTATTTTTGGTTACTGCTTTTATATAAGACAGTAAACATATTGATTAATCAAATCAGAATCTATTCCTCAGTAACGCAACCTGTCAGTTAGAAAATGGTTATTACTTACCCTGTTAATAAGCATCGCGATTAAATACCCCATACCTCCAAATATGCCTGCCGTACAATCTCAGATGCATGATTCTTCATTGTGAAATCTTCGAGATATGGAACAGGAAATTTTAGCAAGATAGAAAAACACGCCTGCCAGCGTTCTAGCGCCCATGATAAAGTACGTTGCATGAACTGATTATCTATTGTTTAAAGTATAAACGATTTGTAGCTATTGACACATTATACCATACTGCTTCACACATGTCATCGTGTTAATGGTTTTATCACCCCTATTGCGTTATTAATGTTGCTTCATTTACTTTCAACTAACAATGGCAGCCAGACACCAAAACTTTAATTGAAGTTAGCAGACACTTTAACTCATAATACAGTTGAGCTATACTCTTCACAGCTGAAGAAAAATTGGAGAGGTTGAAATCAGGATTTGAGGGTCGCAAAATGATGGGCGGTGATGCTAATGATCAACAGGACACTGTAGATGCTCCTCAGGTTGTTTGGTTTATTTTTTAAATAGCATTTTGTCTTTTAATTTGTCCTTATGAAGATTTGCAATGCGTTCTGCATCGCCAACGTCCTGCAAGAATCTTCAAAATCGACTGAGTTGCCAAGGCAGCAGAATATCAGCGAATACCATAATATGTTGATGTCATGAATGACCTAGTGAATTAGTGTAAGATCACAAGACGAGACTTTTTGATGAATTTTAATCACATTGGACAACGCGGTCGTTGTTATTTACATTTCCCTTGCTTGAAAATACTTTTAATGTGATCCGCTTCTACTGATGAACTAAAAATTTATCCAAAACATCCCAGTCCTTTAACGTAATTTCTAGAATCTCCACATATTCAGCAGGGTAACAATAAAAGAATTTCACTGAAAAATAGAAAATATATCTCTTTGCAGTGAAAATACAAGCGTTGTCAGTATAAAGTAAGGCCATGGAAGGGAGCTCAAATGATCCATAGTGAGCCAACCAGCTTAATCTCCTTATTCGGAATTCTGACTGACAAATTATGAGATGGTGGAAGTAAGGTGTTGGGAAGTTTGTCAAGTTTCAAGTTGCTAGGGGGATAAGTCATGCCATTGCATTCTTTTTGGACAGTTTTTCAAAATGTGAAGATTCGTTTATGATGAGTAGCATAAATATCATAAAACTGTAACTAAATACATATTAGTGGTAATCTTTTACAGTTCTTTGATATTGTTGCTGTTTGCATATAGGGCATTGCAGGTATTGAAGAGCGTGAGAAGATAAGACAAACAATCATTGGATTGATCCAAGAGGTACACCTGTGTAATTTACCAGTTCAGTTTGAGACTTTTTCAGTACTCAAATCCCACGATCTAACCACCTCCATTGAATTATGTCTGCTCGTGTTCATAGTTTCATAATTGATTTATATTTCCTTGTATTTTTTGGAAGGCTGCAAAAATGATTTTAAAAAATTTAGCAGTGATATAAGGCCCTAAGAAGGGAAAACTCAAGAGCTTATTGTAATAAAATAAGTTAACATTTTCTTATAACTGTTATAAGTTTATAATGAATATTACGATAAATTGATTACATAGATAATTGAGAAGATAAAGGTGTGTTTATGTTATAGTCTTTAATGGAAGGTGATCTAAACGATTTTCCTTTGGTATTCATGAAAATTTAATTGAGGTAAAATCATCTGCATGAACCTAAAAAATGACGTGTTAGTAACAAATATACTCGCATCATTGCCTATGTTGGCAAATGAAAGACAGATAAACCGAAATATGATTCTAAACCAGATCCGGATCCGTGTTGATTTTTAAGGTTGAGGAGCTAAAATAGACTTGTTAAATTGGGTGCTATTGTCTTGCTAGGCCAAGGAGTTACAAGCCACTGTGGATGAGCTGAAGGATAAAATGATCGAAGCTGAGAAGCTACTTGAGGAACGAGACAGTGAAGTCAACAGTCTTCGGGAGCGGATCGATGAAATTTCAGATAACAATCCGGATTACGTAAGATTTATATTTAGTGAAAGTGAACTTTTTTTACTGAAGATTTTGCTAAACCTTGCTATCTGTTTGAAGTCGATGTCGCGTGGCAGGTTTGATAAGACATGCAGCGTTGTTATTGATCCGGCGTTGTTATTAGACCTAATGGGCTATGCAACGTTGTTATTGATCCGGCGTTGTTATTAGACCTAATGGGCTATGCAGCGTTGTTATTGATCATACGATGTTAATTGACAGAACTGATATTAAGTGAAGTGTGTACTAAGTAATTCGATATTCCCTGTTTATCGATTGAGAGGTACTCCAGACGAGGTGACTAGTACGTTTTTTAATTGCAGCCTTCTTTATCACTATAACTTTAACTTGAGGCTTTTGTGCCACAGGATAAACTGATATACGAAGCAGCTGCTAAGGAGGAGCAGTGTCATCAACTTGAAGAGTATATGGAGCAACTGACAAGCCTTCTTGCAGAAACAGAGAACGACCTTGCTGAAAAGACTGACACGATAAGGGCGCTTGAAATGAAACTGAAAATGGGTGAGTAAGTCTGGCTTTGTTAATCCGAGGCATCTCCCATCGTCTCGGTTTCACTTTGCACTTTTTTTACTTGTTTACACTTTTTTATGAAATTTGGTTTTGTTTCATTGTACGATGTTTGTATCTTTAGACACCCTGTGTACTTCTTTAGAGCCTTGTTTTAGTTGTGCTTTCAGCGGTTCACTCTTAACCGTTTCATAACCTTTCACTGCTTTCATCGCTGCAGCAGTCGGAACAATGCTCTACTTTTCACCTTAACTATATGGCTATTCTCTTTTTTGCGCTTTCTTTTCACTCGTTATTGCCTACCGGCAATTTAGGTTGTCAGTGACTTAACACTAGTTATCGATTCCCTTAGTTTTGCGGAGGTTTTGTCACGTGACGGAACATAAAAAACCTCTTTGTGCACCTTCGCTTTGGTTTGTGACGGAGGCTTGTTGTATATTAGTAAGAGTCCGTTATAAGGAAGGGATCCAGACGACCTTTAATACCTCATTTTCAACGAATAATATTTATTCAATAATGCTGATGTAACCTGATGTGCTAGGTACTTTATAATACTGCTTGTTTATGAGACCACTTTGTCCCTTCTTTGCCAGTTGAGCTTTGAATCGCTGGTCACGTCTTTTTAGTCAGGCTCTAACGTTAAACAATTGTAATTTATGAAAATTGAAAAGAAATGTGAAGTAAATTGCTGAGCCTCAACGTAAAACCATAATAAAATTCCGTTTATACGAGGAAAAAGTAACCTAAAGTTGGAACCCTGTTTAAGCATATCTTCTTGATATGCTGGTTGTTTTCTTCTATTTCTAAAAAAGACTTTTCACAAAGAAAAATATGTCAAATAGCATGGTATTTACGCAGTATCTTACAGGTTTTTCATGTTTACTTTCCCTATGATAACCATCTGCTTAGGCATTTACCTCGACCACTGCTTAGGCCCTCATAACAATTGACTGATGGATTTTTTCTTTCAAACTTCCAGCTTGATAATGAAAATTTTTGGCTACCATTAACAGACTAAGGGCTTGTCGTAGGCAAGCAAGGAGATATATTTTTAAGTTGAGCAACTGATCTTAGATCAACAAGACTGAAGTTGAGTTGCTTCAAAGGTATTGAAAAGTAGACAAAAATCTTTGTCTATGAAGATCCTTTTTGGCTGGGAACGCCTTCGGTTTAAAGTACAAGTGAAATCCAATTATTATAGGGCCCTATAATTCTTCATTGTTTAGGAGAGCCTGTAGTCCAAAAAGAAATGAAACATGGCTTAGAAGACGTTGTGAAAAAGCTAACTCAACATCTAGAAGACTTGAAGTCGCAAATGATTAGGCAGAAGGAAGTGAACAGCGATTTGGCGAAGGAGAGGGATTTTCTTCTACGGAAGGTCGAGCAACTTGAGGATGATGCTGTGCAACGGGGTGTTGGGGAGAATGAACTGGTGAACCTGCGAAACCAGCTTTTAGGTAAGTTTCCAGATAGAGCTTTGGCAGCTCTTATCTTATATCTTTATTTTGATACATTAATCACATCTGCATGTTTATTAGATTCTTATCATATTTATTGTTGCTTCAAAAAGTTGCCTTGCTGAATTCTAAGAACTGTTTTTTAATCCAGACAAAGAAAATGCTCTCAGAGATGAGATGGAAATTAACGATAAACTTCGAGGGGCGTACGAGAAAATTTCCGAAAAACTAAACAAGAAAAAGCGACACGTGGGCACTGGATCACGAAATGTTTGGTTTGACCCAGAAGTGGAGAGTTTGAAATCGCAGGTGCAGAGTTCCCGAGATGAGTCCGAAAGGCTAAGGAAAGAGTTGGAGAGATTGAGCAAGCAAAGAGAGGTATTATGTCTTTCGAATTGACCGTTATGTTGAAAAACAGATCAATGAGACATTTTGCTGTTTTGTTTTAAAGACGCTCGAAATAGTTTGGATGTTTTGAAGTATACGAAGGAGCATCCTTTTTTGACTGGCAAAGCTGGAATGTGCAATCATAGCACGCTAAACCAGTGGAAAGTAATCCCATTTAGGTGATGAGGCTCCTGCTGGAAATCATAGCTCAAACAATCTCAGGTTCCGATTTAATTCTCGGATGGTGCTAAATTCTCAGATTCTATTGTAATAATGTCGGATTTCGAAGGATTTTCATATTCTCATATAATCTCAGATTGGGTTGAATTATCAGATAAAATGTCAGTTTATCAATTCTGCTGAAATCGTAAGAATATTTTACTCTATTCCTCGAGTGAATAATTTATTCTGTTATGATTTTGTGACTTTAATGATATATAATTGCTTAAGATATTTGGAATACGTTTAAACAACAGCAAAAAACTTAATTATTTGATCGCTTTGCTTTCAAAGGCAGAGAGAAAAGCACTTGAAGAACGCCTGGAGCACGGACAGGCAAAGCTAGATCAAGCTGTACAAGCTGCGAGGGATGCAGGGGACTACAAAAGGGAGGCGAAGGAGCTTGATAGACAGTTGCAGAGACTGCAGGTTTTTAATCGTAATTAGATTTGGAATTTAGTCTGAAAAAGATCATGACTTCTGTCTTCTGTGTGCAAATGTCTTCTGTGGCACAAGAAGCGAAACATCATCTGTCCCATGGAAATGCCTTCTCTTTTCATGCAAGGAAACATGTGACAATACGTTCTGTTATATCTTTTTAACCCCAGCTTATTCAACGGACCAAGCCTCTCGCATTTTTGGAAGGCTGAGTTGAAAATTAAGCAATTATATCGAATGTTAATTTTTTTCATGCAATGAAATGATTTTCTCAAATCAACATTGTGCGTTATACGACCGTGGAAATCACAGAAGATTTTTCAGAATGGGTCTTGTTTTGTTGTAGTCTGTTTATTGAGAAACTATTTTAAGATGCCCTTAAAGTTGATGCATGTATCATTAAATCCTTGCAATTACATATGCCTTTATATGGTTTTTGTCGTTCATGCAGGCTGAAAAAGCGGCGCTAAAACAACGAATCAATAGTCTTGAAAATGATTTGGATAAGGAAAAGGATGAGTCGGTTCCGTGGAGAAGTTTGTTACAGGAATTAAAATCATTGATAAATGAACTGAATTCAGGAGATATCGACCGAAGATCGCCGGTATCAGCGGGTGCTTCAAATAAGGAGAAGAAACTACAAAGGGTGTTTGAAGATCTGAGAAATAAGATTAAGGACGACATTGAAAGAAACGAGGAAGAGAGCGAAGCAAAGCAAAGGGAAATCGAAAAGGTCTGTATGTTAATCTGTTGATCTGTCGGCACAATTTCTCCTTTCTTCAGCATCTGATTTTCTTTTAATAGACAATTCTTCGTTGCGAAGTTTCAAAATACCTTATGGTGGCTGTAGTGTAACTTTAAGCAAGAACATCAATCAGTTACATCAATTCTACAAAATTATTTATTTAAGTCGCCCCTCTATTTTTCTCCAGTCTTCTATTATTATCAGTCAAAGTTTTTCACAATCGTTTTTTATGTTGGTTGCAGGAGATAAGCTTGATTATTCCTCGTGTGGGTCGTCTAGTGCCATGTGTAATCGTAATGCCAACACTATTTTGAATCATTTTGAAAATTTAGAATGTATTGACATTACGTCTTAGTTGATAATTGTTTTTTACAATTGCTATTGATTATAGAATATTATTTACACAAAATCTTTCTATCAACAAGACCTCTTAAATCGATTTTCTTTAAACTAAATGACAATCTTAATCAATTCGAAAGATATTTAACTACTGTTTCTATCGTATTCTATCAATTTGAGCGGAAAATGCAAGCTTTGTTGTCGCCTTTTTATGGTTGAGTGATGTAATTATTCTCCTTTAGTGATAATCTTCATTCAGATTAACTCTATTAAAGTTCCCAAATCATTTAATTGTTCTTCTTCTGCAAAGATAGACATCATTTTGTTATTTCCATTTAACATTTCCACTTTTTGTTAATATCTCGATGTTTTCCTGTTTTTCTATTCGTTGTGTTTTTCTTGTGTTTTATTTCCTGTAAATTATTGTATTACCTTCCCTAACAATACAGCAATCCTGGATTTAATTTAATGATTTTCTTTTTATAGTTTCAGGCCAAGATTGAAAAACTCCATGGTGATCTCACTGCAGCGCAGAGTGAACTGTCAGAAGCAAATTTGTACGCTCGCGAGGTACAGAGTTTAATATCAATTTCCATGCAGTGTATTGCCTAATGTACGAAATATTCCACACATAAAACAACATACACTTACGTGACAAAAGATTAGGACGATGAATAACAAAATGGCGGCTCCAAACTAGCATTCTAACATTGATTGAACGAATCTTGCTTGCTGTGTTGGCGGTATTCTAGAAATGGCGTCAGCGAAAATGCAATTCCTAGCAAATTAAAATTATTTCTTACCTTTCTATGATAGAAAGGTCTCAAAATGTCAAGGAGAATTGGAAGATATCAATGTTTCAGTTTCAATGCCTAAAAGACAAAAATGACCTAGCGACCTTGGGTCTAGCGTGTCATTTGTTTGCTGAAACTGCAAGAAAGTTTGGTTGCAGCAAGTCTACAAAGCATGCTATTTATAAGAACAATAAGTTAACAAGGCCGGCTTAAATTCAAAGAATGGTAGGCCAGGGCAGGCCGACTATTGGTTGGGACTAATGGCGTCGGCAAGCTGGCGTTGTGTGCCAAGTCAATCAATGCTGAATATTTTGTCCAATTATTCGTGGAAAAGCCCCTAGGCAAGTACAGAAACAAGTAATTATTATTTGCAAAGACCGTTTATTTTTAAGCAAGACAATAAACCTAGTTATGCTGCAATTGTGACAAAAATTTTCAAAAACAATAACATCATGGTCTTTCAATAACTCCGTCAAAGTCAAAGCCTTGATGCTTTCATTAAGCAACTGGTTTTCATTAAAAAATCAAAGAAATAGAATCTTCTAAAATCAAAAATAAGCTCTTTTAAAATTTTGTTGAGATTTCCTTCTGTATCCGAAGATATTTCGTTGGAAAATTATTTCAGTGAGTTCCAATGCAAATGGTGGCTGCCTAGATTGGAGGTCATCTGACAAAATATAAAATAAAGCAAATTGCACTTGTCTAAATAGTTTACTTTTTTACAATTTTTGAAATTTATGTTGATTTTTAAATTTGGGTATAATTGCAATCGAAAATCTCAACCAGCAATCTCGTTATGTTCCACCGATTTTCTATGTTGTTCTTTGAGCAAAGGATTAACCCTATTTGCTTCAAGGCAATCGTCCTAATACTTTTGTCACGTAAATGTTTATCAATCCCAAGATATACACTTAAAATACAAGATATACCATAATCATCATCATAATCGTAATCATGGTCGTCATCATCATCATCATAATCACCATCAATCCTCAGATCCGTTTCTTTATCGTTTATATGCTTTTTAATATTTAGCAAGAAGTATATCTGCTGGTGGTCATCTGTTTTCAATGCGTTTTTGGGTATTCTAATATGTAAAGTATATATGCATTTAAATCTGAAGATATTCTTGAGATATCATCCCAGTGCTATTGATTTTGTTACAGCTGGAGCAAGAGGCACAGGATCACAAGCAGCACCTAGAGCAGACGCAAAGTCGTTTGAAGAAGGCTTTAAATGATCGCTCTAATAATGTATGAATCAGCTTTCTTTTTCTTGTTACTTTCTTCGGGTATTTCTGAAATCCTCAATATCACTGATAAAAAGGGTTTCTCGGGTAACCAAAACAAGGCCTGAGATAATGCTAGCTGAATGCAACCTTTGGAAATCGTTAGCTTGTAAATGCAGAAAACATGATATAGTGTTTTAAATAAAATATCATTGGAATTTGTTATCTACGGATATGGAGCTTCATATCTAAATATCTAAATGTTGATGATTTTATGTAAAAAGATTGATCTCGTTCTTGATTTACGTTTTAATAGGAAAGGCTTATTGAAGATGAATTCAGTGCACTACAGGGAAGGCTAGACGAGTCTGAACGAGCAGTTGGAATGGCAAGTAAACTTGATTACTTTTCGTGTATTGCTGAAGAAAGAGAATCATTTTTTATTAACATTTCGAAGCTGTGTCTCGTCATCAATGCATCTGTCAAATCATAAATACTGCCAATGCCCCCAAAATTGGAAAATCTGAAGTAGACCTTTGTGTGCAATAATTATGAATTCCCGTTTTATGAGGTCTAGAGACCCAGTTTCTGTAAACCTGAATATTTTCTCACTGAAGCGTTTCAGTTGCTTTCGAACCCAACTGATATAGACTAAGGGCCGGTTCACACTACTCCGTTTTCAAATGAAAATGGAGTCAAACTAATCCGTTTTCGCCTTGCGCTCGCACTACTCTGCTATGCAAACGGAGTCGTTTGAAAACGCTAATGAAAACGGATACTTTCGAATACGGTTCGTATTGAATACGCTCCGTTTTCAGTGTGAACACCAAAAACGGAGAAATTTGAAAATGCTAACAACGGCAACAAAATACGTGCTTTCTAGCACCCCAAATCTCAAAAATTTTGAAATTGAGAATTCACAATGAACTGGTAGCTGTTTCAACAATGTTTTTCACAATTTGCTTTTATTTAATTTCACTTATAATGACGCCAATTTGTTTAGGATTCGTGAACGCCTCTTTTCAAAAACGAGGCCACCGACAGCGTGTTTGTTGGAGTAGTGTGAACCAGAACACTTACCGTATTCAAATCGTATTCATTTGAAAACGGATAAGTGTGAGCGGACAGCGTTTTCATCAACGAAAACGGAGCGAAACGAATTTGTAGTAGTGTGAACGTAGCCTAGAAAACCAATCATATGACTGTAACTCATTTTGCGTCGATTTATTTCAACCCGTGTCTTGGAAGAAACGTAGTCATCTTTTTGTCATTGTCTTGGCATGATCTTGCATCTCTAGATTGAAGAATAAACATTTCTTGTACACGCGACAAGTTTCTGCTTTTCATCGCTTCCATTAATAAACTTTGCTTCCATTCCCAATAAGCCTATCCCGAAAGCTTAGGGCTCATTCCAGCCAGTTTGTTAACAAACGCATTCAAGTTTTCATTTCAATTTGCAAAGTCCGCGGTCAATAGCTTTTGTGGTTTTTAAATATTGACATTTAAATTTTTTTCATTATTTAATTTTAGATGCAAAAATTCATCAAATGTAGTATTTCCAGATATTCATCTTCACTGCTACTTAAAATATTGATAGATTATGATAAGATTATATCAAGCCGTTTGTCGAAATGCTGTATTGCCAAAACTCCTGCATTCGTTTACACTGAGTCATAGAGCATCTTGTTTTTAGGCCGAGTAGAATTTTGTATCAGTAGAAATTTCTTCATTTTAAAAAAAATTGTATTTTAGGCAAAAAAGGAGACCAATAAACTAAAATCAAAACTTGAAGAAGCAGACAGAAAAATGCGAGCTGTGGAGCAATTGGCTAAAGAGGTTGGGAGCCCCAAGGCTCTTATTTTTTTTTGTAGCGTTGACTTGTTGAAGTCAAAGTCTGTATCATGTTTTTACTCACTAAAACAGTACTGTTGATTATGGAAATAGACTACCGTCTCTTTCGAATGATTTTCAAAAAGACGATCCTCCATTCGATCAACCATCATTTACATGAAATCTTAAAAAGGAATAAGCAAGAAGGCCTATACGTTTGCACTGCTTGTCGTTTGAGCCAGTCAAGTTTCAAGGGCATTTTACATCACATTTGTAGCCACAGCATTTCAACAAGGAATGCGATAATGTAAAAATCTTTGGACGTTGTATATCTAGTGAGAAAGTATAATGAGTGCAAGTTTCTCCATGGTCTTGCTATCGACTGTGTGGGTTGGGTAACGGCTGTTTGAATAATGTAGCTGATTGAATATTTCACTTATGAATGCAGCTGGCTTTATTTACAACATTTTTGTCTGTACCGTAGAGGGGACTTACTTTTCGTTTAGTTTACTTTCTTACGAAGTTCCCCTGCATTTTACATTGTATTTATTGTTGTTTAAAAATCTCATGGCTGTAGCGTTTTAAATTGTACCTGTTTATTTATTTCAATTGTCATGGCTGTCCTCCTCAAGAAATTCCCCATAATGCAAGTGCTATTTCTTATCCTAACAATGAATTTGTGTTATTGTAACTCATTTTGTTAAATAAATAATATTTTTTATTTTCTCTGGGGTAAACGGTATTTTGGAGCATTTCGAATATTAATGCTGAAATGAAAAAAGAAGTGAAATTAATGGCACCTTTTTCTTTTTGCAATGTGCTGTTAGTACATCATTTTGTATGCCTGATGCTTCTGCCTGATGCACTCGTGTATGCCAGATGCTTCTGGCTAAGACCTTTCTTGCATATTTGATGAATCTGTAGCAGCTTGAACGGGACATACAATTTTCTAATATGCAAACTATAAACTTACTTCATGGAAATTATCACATTTCTAACTTATATTTTTAACATGACAGGCTGAGCTTGATTTTGAAACGGCCAAGGCTGAGGTGGCTGAATTGAAAAGACAGCTCACAAAGGCAACAAATGACAAAATTTCACAGGTTACTTTATCTTGAAATTATTTCTCAGTCACGTGATGGCTTCTTTCTTATTCGTGAGCTTTACAAATATATTTACGAATCGATTGGTGGTATTGGTTTTGGGGTATCACCAGGGGCGGACACTTGGTCAAATATTGGGGGGGGGGGCAAGCCTATTGTTTTAATAAGATGACTTCACATTTCCCATTGTTTTGGAATAAAAAACCATTGTCCTCTAAAGTATTGGGGGCGGTCGCCCTCCCTCGCCCCCTAGGTGTCCGCAACTGGGTATCACCTAGTAATGACGTCACTTTGACCTGTCGAAGGTTTGGCACTTTTCAGTAATGTATCCTATATGGTCACTTTATAGTTACAGTACAGTATATAGGCTATACAGTATAGGCTGGTAGGCTTTTTCTATATCTGAGCTTATGTGCATTTTTTGATAGTATCTTGCTGTATAGTTTCATATGCCCCGCTCTTGCAAACTAAGTTTCCGCATTGAATTGGAGAGGACTAACAAGTAGGTCGCTGATTCAATAATTTGAAAATATTTTGCTCTGCTTTTTGTTCGGTTTTACCCGTACGGTATCTGCGGATAGTAGGCATAATGATCAATCTTAGGCCCTAAACTACAGTGCTAATACACCAATTTGACTTACGGCCTCGTTTTGACAAATTCTTCAAAATTTTTTTGTATAAAATTTTTGACCTCAGATTCGGATTGACAACAATGATTTTAGTCGAATTTTAAGTTTTCATTATCATATTGCTCACGATATCGATTTTATGACGACATAAAGATAAAAACTTTATAAGGGATTTGACCGTGATTGGCGACTAGGGGGGTAAAGTTTCCCACGGAACGATTTTTGCGGTCAAATCCCTTACAAGTTTTCAAACTTCATTTCTCCATAAAATCTAAAATACAAGCTGAAACAATATGAAAAATGGTAACCCGCCTAAAATTATGACGATAAAACCAAATCTGAGCTTAAAAAAGTCGTATAATTAAGTTTGGAGAAATTTCCAAAACGAGGTCGTAAGTCGAATTGGTGTATAGCACGACCCGTGATTTCTACACTCGCCTCGTTTCCTACCAGAGAAAATCGGTACCTGGCGGCAAGAATATGGAAGGAAAAGGTAGCGAGAAATTAAGCTTACTCAATCATTCAACTGGATAAGTGTAAATTTCCGTTTTAAAAGGCACTTGCTTCGAGGAAAGACTGTGCATTAGACTAATATGTACATTTTACTTGGGTGTAAAGTTTTGATAGAATATTTGATTTTAGGGAAAACGATACGAAGATGAAATCGATGAACTGAAACGGGATCTCGACAGACAGTTGAAGCAGGTTTGATCACACCCTCAAACTGTTTATAAGCTGTTTACTTTCTTTGATTTACAGATAGTAGTATTTCTTAGAGGTTATTAAAATTGAAGGTAAATTGCGCTTCTTTGTCAATCTATTTGCGCAGATTTAGAATGTCGGCTGTCTATTAATACTCGCTTGCCATGCGTTAGTACAGTTATTCTGCGAGTTTTTATCATATCTAGGTGTATTTGAAGACTCCGTTGTAACATATGATGCATCGTATTTATTTTTATCTACTTGAAGTAGGACCAATTTTTTCAGGTTTGTCAGAGTTTATGACTTGACCCTGATATAACCGTAAACGTTTATATATAGGGAGACGATGAAGTTGAGACATTGAAGGGCAAACTCAAGTCTGCTGAGAGGCGAATGAAAGATTCCGAGCATAAGGCCAACCAGGTGAAAAGGATGTTCAGTATTATTTTAAGATTTGTATATAAGTTTGCAGGATATGATTGCAGGATAGGATAGCTTAATCTTTTTGGGGGTTGGGAGGGGGGTGCATCACCTCGTCAGTTTTTTTCTAAGAAATTTATGTTAAAACGCAGAATCAAAGGTCTGTTGTCTTGCTTTAGAAAAAATTTTGGGACCGCCCTTTTGGAGATGAAAGGCTTCAAGAATTGCAAGGGTAGCCATTTCAAAAAGTAGTTTTGCAGTAGCATTATGTATGGTATACGGCTGTTGAAAAATCTCAAGATTATTTGGAAGTCCATAATCTTAATTCAAAATCTGTCTTTGTTGTCATTATAACCAGGTCTTTGAAAATAGCTCTACCAAAGGTTATCGTCACACAGATATATCACGTGATAATTATTAGAAACTACAAGTTGAAATTAGCCTGTGTTAGTTGAAATAAGCCCTTTCACATATGGATGTAGCCAGGTTGTAGTTTTAAAAAAATTTGGTCGGTCAAAAAATCATGTCAAGAATTACATCCCTTCCTAGTTTAACAGCTCGTCTTTAAGAACATTGTTGTCATTCCTTTCACCTTTTCAAAATATTTCTCGTTAGTTTCAACAAGAGGCAAGCTTGGACAAATCAAGAATTCAGAGCCTTGAAAATGAACTTGATTCATTGCAAAAACAGCAGCGAAAGGCCAAAGCTGATTACAAAAACGAGGTAATTTGACACATTATGTCATGTTCAGGATGTTTATGTCATCATTGTGCTAGCTTGGGTGTTTCAGGTTGCACTAAAGCACTATCATTATTTGACATTTTGAAAATAATTTCTCTTAATCATTTTCGTTGATTATCAAATAGAGGTTGACTCCTTGCTATCTAAATCATTATTGTTTTGTCTTTGGACTAAGGGTCTTACTTTAACGATATTTTGTAGCCATTTTTTAAATAAGTTTGAATTACTGTACCCCTATATCTTCCTTTCGTTCACCCCCCCCCCCCCCCTCCTAACGTTTCTCCGTGTTGATGAAAGGATGTTTGAACACTCCATAGAGATTTCTGTCACTAAGAATACTCCAGCTTGCAAGTAAAGAGCAGAGAAACAGATACCTATAAGTCCCATAATGAAAATGTTATTATTTTCACTATTATTTTCAAAAGAAATATAATTTGTTTACTAGTGAGCTGCAAAATAGCCTTGTATTTTCTCATAAACTGAGTGCTCCAGCGATTAGGGTTACAATTTTATTTTTGCTGTTAGCTTATCCTATAAAATTTCTAGTCCAGCAGTGTTGCGTAAGGTAAGAAATAAATCTATGCCTCTCGTGTGACTTTGGAGAAACCTTTGCTCGATGAAGATGTTTAGGCTGTATCCACTTTCCTACACCAGTTTAAATGAAGTACCAAGGGCACAAAAACTCTTTTTCAAATTGACATTCATGCGTTGATGCTCTTTTACCTATCAACTAGATAACTTGATGTCAATTGAACCTACTAAATTTTAATTTATAGAGGGCTATTTGTCTACCAGTCAGTTCTTCAGTCCTCAACAATTTCTTATTCCTTTATGTTTCAGCTTGTTGGAACGAGAGAAAAGTTTGAGCGTTTACAGAAAGGGTTTGAACAGGACATCGAGGGTCTCAAGAATCAGATCAAAGAAAATGAAAAATATATTAACCATCTTAAAGATCAGGTAGTCCATTTTGATTTTCAATGGACAATTAAGCCCAGCGTGTTTTACGAAAAACGGGATTGATTATGATTTAATTTTCGTGAAAAAGTACAAGAAAATCTTATGATGATTTTTGGAGCATCCCTCTTTATCAGTTAATAAGTCTTCTTCATTGATTTATTCAATCTATAACCTTTGGTACAATAGTTTTTATCCTGCTTTGAATTATAAATGAATCATGTGACGATAAAAATTTGCCGAAATTATAAAATTTATTTGCCATAACAATTATCCAATTATCTGCAATCCCCTAAATTACTTCTACAGGATAGTGTTGAAGATATTTTTTGAGAAAGATTTAAAGCTATTGTGAAGATGTGACGATTTAAATCAAATGACGACGATTGAGTGGGTGGGAAAATGTGGGAATAATTGAGAAGGAAAACACCACGGTGAGGAAAATTGACGACGAAAGTGTGCAGCAATGGATAGTATTGAGGGACGGGACATTAGGAAGCTTGTTTTTTGAAAGGTTATGATAATGTGATGTTGACAGTGTGTTATTTCCTTGTTTATGATTTGGAGGGCTTACCAACTTCAGGACCACATTAGTAGTGCCAATTACTTTATGTATGCCATTTCTTTTCTCACATGTTTCTCTCTTTCGATTACTTGTTGCACCGTACATATATTCTCTATAAGCATCCAAAGGTGATCTCGTGCGCATTTCAGTGCTACTTTAAGTAACTTTCGTGTTTCACTCTCCCAAAGATAAAAAGAGGTAAAAGAGATTTCCAGGCAGAAATTGATGGTTTAGCTGAAGAAATCTCCGAGCTACAGGCCGAGGTTCTAAATAAAGAGTCACAGTTCCATCTGGTCAGATATCTTTTATCATCTTTGTGATTCTACAATTTGGCTTCGTCGCTTTATCCAATCTCGTATTCTTTTTTTTTAAATGGAGAGTTATTTGAATGAATGGCTGTTTTTAGCCATCAGTCTTTATTAAGGCATAAAAGGCTAGCGATATTCTTTGAACATTAACGATATTCTTCGAACATTTAGGATGGAATTTCAACATTTAAAATAAGGACAAGATACTTCTACATCGTATTTTTCATTTCTCTGGTTCTATGCTCATGAATTGTTTTTCGGAACTTTCTATTAAATATCTTCTTAAATCTTGTCGATAACATAGTTTGAATATCTGCAAAGCTTTATATAAAGTTCTCTGCATGTTATCCTTAGAAAACTTCACAAGTGCTTTTGGTTGTTGGGAAGTTCGTTCGCAATTAAGTTGTTATTTTTCGGTCCTTCTGTAAGCACCCAGTTTTGCCTGCCAAAAGTCCTTGAAACACCCTGAGATTTCTGTGAATTCGCGTGTCCCCTTCTATTTCCATGTCAACAAGGAGGGTGTTGCCCCTCTTCCCCCTCATACAATGTTGATTCGCTAGCGGAAAACCATAGCTATGTAAACATTTATCACTTGTACATGTAGGATTATTCATATTTCCGTGGCACAACATTGTACAAGGGGGGGAGGGGATGTTGCAGCTCGTGCACAACGTAAATTATAGCAAGTGTTCCAAGACTTTTGGCAGGCATTGCAGTTAGGCAGTTTTAGTGTAACTGCGTTGAAGCTTCGTAGAATTTTCGTACTTTTTGTTCAAATAAACAGAACATTCTGGTTTAATTTGCAATCAAATTCCCTTTAGGCCGAGGAAAACAACAGTCGTTTGCTGGAAAACATTTCAAGATTAGAGGACGAAAACAATGCTTTAAATGATCATGCGAATGCTGTCGAGAAGGAGGCTACAGAAATGGTATACAATTGTGCTTAGTAGCTTTGAGTTCTTTCTGTATACAATTTTCTTCATTATTTTTATCAAGCAATTGTCACTTTCTTGAATGTTAATTTTACTTCTAATTTCAAGTATTTTAAGCCAAAAAACATTGATTTGCATTTTCAATTCATAGATTCTAGCTTTAATTCTGGAATTTAAATTGTTATGAGTTGTTAAGTATGTGCCTTTCTTATCATAAGTATCTCTTCTTCACAAGATGAGTCTCTTGCCCCTTTTTTAATCATGTGATTAATTTTAGTTTTTTTCTACCTTTTTCTACTGTTTTCTTATACTTAATAGATCATAGACAACCCTTATTTTATTTTATTTTGTTTGTTTTGTTTTATTTTTATGTATTTTATTTCTATTTATGTAGATATTTAGATCTATTGACTGAGTCACATCAAAAGTAAAAAATTGTCAGATCATGATTTTGCAGCACAAAGCATCGAAGCTATTTCTTTCTTAAATTAAAATTGTTAACTTGAGATAAAGAAAGCAAGTTTTTGTTTTTGCAGTTAAAGAATGAGCGGGCACTACACGCAAAAGAACTGCAAAATTTAGAAGATGAAGTTGACAATTTAAAAAGGTTAATGAAGCAACTGCAGCAAAACTATAGCAATCAGGTATTTCCTCGCATTAGGACATTTGAAACTTTTTAGCTTCTACCTAAAGTTGGATCTCGCTAACTCGGACCTTCAAGGGGGTTATGAAATTTTCCAACTTCCAAAGTCGCTATAGCGAATGCCCGTCTTCTTATCCGGGGTGTGACTTTTGACTTGTATAAGGTAGGAATTGAAGGGAGTTGAAGTTAGTCTGACCTGGTGAAAATCCGAGTCATCCGGGGAACGACTTAACGGAATTCGACTGCCAACAGATTTCAATGAAATAATTTTTTCCTAAAATTGACCTCGCAGTGCTTGATAATAGAGTATTCGATGATACGATGAAAATTTGTTTTCCTTTTTGCCAAATATTTTTATTTAGTGATATGTTTTCATATATTTGAAAATCCTTGCAATACCTAAGGTTCTCATCTGTTTTTAAATGCCCATTCACAAAAAAGCAACTAATACAAATCTAGAAAAGAAGAAATTTTTGTATTTTGAATCGACTTAGTCTCTGATTGTTTAATCTGCTTTTGTGAATAACTATCGTTGAATACCTTAGGCCTATGAACGGGAAAGAAATGCAATCAATTCATTGTCTCATGAAATTGATAACCTAAGAAGAAGAGTCGCTGACACAGAGAGAGAAGCTGAAGGAAGGGTGATACTTTACGTAACACCGCATAAAACCTTGTCAAAATCTTGTTATCTTCTTTTGTTTTGTATGTCATAAATCCATGAAAATTATCAAAAGACAACGTAATATGTCATTGCATAAAGCGTTAGTTGCAATTATAGAATTTGCTAGTTGGATAGATTTCTCAAGCGTTAAATGTAATAAGATTAGTTACTTTAAGTAACGTTTCAACCAATTAAGTATAAAAATTGACTCTCCAAACTAAATATCTTAATCAAAGGCTTCAAAACCTGATTTTTTAATTTTTATGGTTATTATCTGTGATCTCTTGCAGGAAATGCACCATTTGAGTTTTAAAAAAAGACTTTCAGATGAAATAGAAAGACTTCGCCAAACGGTTAGTAAGCAATGTTTCTAGTCGTCAGCAATAAGTTGGTATACTCTGAGACCATTTCTCACTTCTTGTCTCTGTCGTTTGGAGTTTCACTTTATGGATTCCTCTTCTTGAATAACCTAAAACACTGCAAGGCTTCAGGATGACACAGGCAAGTGAAAACATCTTGATTGACATGGTATAAAATTGTTTTGATTGCTGTTGAATAAAGGGTTTTTATTTCAGTGAAAAAATAAATGTGTGATGTAAATATTAAGGAATGACATTGGTAGGCGAAGAATCCATTCAAAATGATTATGTCCCTACCAACTAAAAGCTTCGTCTTTTTTGAGATAACGTTCGATAACGTAACGTGCGATTCTGGTTATGTATGGTGCACAAGCTAAAAGTGCGGGAAAGAACAAAACAGCACTTTCCTTGCAATAATAGAGCAAAATTTGGCAAATCTTAAATAAAGTCACGTATGCCAAAAAACTATAATTATGACATGTTCCAGACAATTGGTAAAGCCCGATCGTCGCTCCATCTAGCAGTTTTTGAATCTATCTACATAAGCTCGAAAAAACCGCTATTGTGTAGACAGAAGGAGTTCGTTTTTACCTTAGCACTCCATTAGTAAAGCTAGGCGCACACGAGAGCATTTTGCCTAAGCAAAGTGTCATTTGTGGCATTTTTCTTAAGCATCACGTGCACACGTTGCTTATAGGCTTATTTAATCTACAACTGATTATATATATTTTCAAGCTATACATTTTTTATGATTTTTCTGATGTTTTATGCTTTGAAGCTTGTCAGAAAAAAAGCTTTAGCATGTCTTGAAATGTTTTTTTATTCAAAGCAACTTTTAAATTTTTCACCAGCAAATAATTGTTTGCAAATTTGAAGGTTTTTTTTCTTCAAAAGCAGAGATGAGGTTAGAAAAAAACATGCAATATGTATCTTATGCCATCTTTGATAATATTTTCAGGTTGATGATAAAGAATATGAAAGCCGGTTGCTTGATACTAAAAACAAGGCACTTCATCAACGCATGGCTGATGAAATAGACAATGCATTAAGTCAGGTCAGATTCTGTTTTCCTGTTTTTGTATTATCTAGTAAAGGGGTCCTTTTTTTGGATTTAAGAAGTCAAAATGGCCCTCAGTTCCTCGCAAAGAGGCTTCATCTTTCCCCTCATTTGCTGTAACTACTTTAGGTTTATTTTAGACGCAAATACTATTCATAATAGAGCTTTCCAGCTTGTCTTTACAAATATACGCCAACCAATAGACCTATTTAAATGGCTGTTAAGGCATCCAGGACATTGTCTGCTTTTTGAATACATATGCATCGAGAAGTATCATTGTTAACTCTTTTAGCGTTATAAAAGGCTGTTACGTAATCCGTAATCCATAGCTGTATAATTCTCAGCATTTTCTTTTTGAACTACAATTTTAACTTTTTGTGTCAAATTACATTGTAAACATGGAATTTATATATTCTGTTCTTTTGTAAGCAGGACAAGCTGTGTGGCAGCATATTTTATGTACTGGCGCTTTTGCCCTATATAAAGTATTGAAAATGAAACTGACATGAACAATACAAGTCCACCTTCTTCAAGGAATTTCGTATTAAGAAAAATTGATTGGTGAAAAATGATATATATATATATAAAGTTCAGTTTGTTAACACAAGGTGCAAAATAGCTCGGTTGAAAGATCTAGGGAAGCCAATATTATCCGAAAAGTATTCTTTCAAATTTAGCATCATCATATCGTTCAACCTGTGATCTTGTGCCAAATTATTTTCACAAGCATCCAACGGCTAAATTTTCTGCTCACAACCCCTTGCAACAAATACTTTTAAGGGGATCACTTTTTTAAGAGGTCAATAAGTTTTGGGTGCCACTATTACATACTACCCATGATTTGAATACCTGTTACATTTTCACCATTCAAAATTAACGCTATTCAACAATCTTTCTATACAGATTTCTAATTTGAAAAGGACGCTTGGTTACCGAGAGCAAGAGCTGGCATCCCTTCGAAATTCCACAGAGCCTCTCATTGGTAAGTTTCGGCATTTTTAGATCGAGGTCCAAACTGGCTTTCACCTTATTGTTGAGTCTCGATACATATTATTTCGACGTTTTTAACTATGCATTCTTTGTCTTAATTCATTTTTAATTTTAAATATTCTGAAATTTGATTAATGAATTTGATAGTTTTCTTGAAAAATAAATATTATTTAAAAAATCTTGATCTTGGTCATTCCTGCCAGAATTCTTCGGCTCCAATCCTATCTCAAAAGGTTGACTGCAATTTCATTGAGTTTACATCAATTTTTTCAGCCGAATATAGAGGCAAGATTTCGAATCTTCTTAATCAGCTGCAGGCCAAAGAAGATGAACTGACGCGTCTACAGATAAAATTAAACGAAACGCTGAACGGGTCTCATTACGTCACAGTCAGTGGTGCGTAATTTATCATTTTGCACTCAAATAAAGAATCTCATGTTGTTTTGATATTTCCCACAATTATAAACTGTATTTTAGTTTAATGTCTTATAAGAGAAAAATTGTTAACTTGATATAAATTGCATATTTGCATTCATAACTTTCATAGCAATTTTTCACAAGGTATTTTTCTTTATGAAAAGTCGATGAAGGAAAATGCTTCCCAGTTTTTATCACACAGCTCATTGTTGTCATTCTGAAACGTGTTTTCCAGATCTTTCTCTGAAGCAATCTTTATCACAAATCTGCTCTGTGGGTTTTGCCTATGCACTTATTTTAAGTAGCGTCCTCTTATGAATGACAACTAAGACTCTTTGAAACCCTCTTCTTTTTCATTTTTGAACAACTGCACATCTTTTGAGACATCCATGGATTCATTCATAGTCGTGATGTTGATCCAGTTGTATCGAATTCGTAACGTAGTTTAGTGGAAATATTATGTCGCTGTTAGAAGTGTGTTTAATCGATTCTAGATCCTCGTTTTGAGCATTTGCTTCACGAAGTAGAGGTTTTGAAGAGCTCAATAGCCAACTTGCAAACAAATGCAACAGCCGTGTTGTCTTCTCCATTGCAAAGACTATCTGCAAGACCAACTCCACAGCTTTACACCCCATTGAGAGCAAGTGCATTAGAGCTGAATTCGAATTCACTCCCACAGTCAAATGGTTACCAGACCCCTGTATCGACTGTTCACCATCATCACTACGGTGCTGAAAAGGGCATCCCTGTCGAGAATGTCCTTGCCACCACAACAGCACCTAACGGCTCCCTTCATATTCATCATCTCAAGGATGATCTAAACAAGAGTAAAAAGAAGAAACGAAGCCAGAAGAAGACAGATACCTATGATGATGAATATTGCAACATAGCTGAGCATGAAGACCTGGTAAGCATTTGGCTGGTTTAGTGCCCCGTGAACTACCCTTTACATGGGCTGTTTTCAGTGAGATAACAGGATAGGACTTCCTTTGACATTGTTAGCAACGATAAGAATGGACGATACGATCAGTGGCGAAGCTATGCAAAAATTGTTGGTCCTGCTGTATGGACAGGACCACGCCCTTATTCAATAGGAAACGCCCATGAACAAAAATTATTTTTTGCAGATGAATTTTTTCTTAGATTCAGTAAAAAGCAAATTTTAAACTGATGTCTATCTTTTGAAAAATAAACCCATACTTAAAGGCGCGCTTTAGGATTCTTACTTTTCAAACAAATCTATATCAAATTGTAGTAAGCTTCTATAGCTGAAGTAAAAGTTCAAATTGGTGATAACTAAATTTCACAATAAAAGGGGGTAGAGTTGACATTTGAAGTTGCATACCATATATTTGTGGTAGTTGAAATAGTCTAATTAGACTATTCCAGATTTTGGTCTTATAAACCTTACAACTCTAGATACTTTATTAAAATAATTTCAATAAATAAGTTTAAAGTCTATAGGGGCAAGTTCACATATTCTGCAGAACAATTTTTCTGCAGCTGATAAAGAGAGGTACATTTGAATATGTGTCACTTTATCAACTAAAACAACTTTATTAACCAAACCATTAGACGAGTAAACAATTCAGGTAGAAAAATACACTTTAATACTAGCAGTTTAGCGTTCAGCTCATCGGTATTCAACATAACAATCAGTCACACAACACCAGTCGCTCGTTAATCTCTTACAAATGCAAATTCCGCTGAAATTTGTTTATTCTCCAACTCCAAAATTTCAATCACACAACAGTAAATTCAATTATGTTTTTATCGTCCGTGTCCAGGTCTAAAAAAATCTTACTTATTTACTTAAAAAAATCAAACCTTTGTAGTGATATACGATCCTACAAAGGCCAAACTCAGAGTGCCTCATACAGCCAATTCCTGTTGTTTACCATTTCTTTCTCGCGAACTTTGGACTCTATCTTGTTAAATATTATGCAGCTCAACTGAGGCAAGTTTTGCTGTCAATAATGATATCATTGGTATTGCCAAAGCAAGCAGGAAATCCACATTCACATCGCCTCGCCATAATACTTTAACTGGCCTCCTTGCTACTTGCTAGTACTCTCGTCTCAGTGTCTTTAATTCTAAACAGAACGAGAATGCAAAGGGCAGTCCTTGGAGTCCTGCTCTCAGAAATAGCAGGACCAAAGGTTTTCAAAACAATGCTCTTTGACCCACGTAGGTGAACCCTCGACCTATCAAATCACTACTGTTTACGAAATGTAATGATGATCATTTCGACGAGGTCCTGCTCCTGAGATTGAGCAGGACTGCTCTTTGTTCTAGACTATTGTGAAGCAGGACTAAATTTACCAAAGCCCATTGTGAAGCAGGACCAAACATAGGGTATCATAGTTATGAGCAGGACCAAAATACAGGGTTGCCGTAGTAAAGACCAGGACCTTGAGATTAGCACGGGATGCCTGTATTAGCTGGCGGAACTGGGGACTGTTTATCAAATAGAATATGAAACTTCCCTTTTGCAATGAAGAAATTTTTTTATTGTTTACAGTAAATGTTATCTTTGGAAATTCTTGGTCCTGCTCAGCAGGACCAGCAGGACCTTTGGCTTCGCCACTGGATACGATACCCTGTTATTAACGATAAGAATGGACGATACGATACCCTTTTAATGCCAATTTGGGCATTTCCAATTTTCTGGTCCAAAACAATGGTCTTGAATTACCACCCTTCCAAAATGGAGATCGTTGAGAGGTTGTGCATCACTTTGTCCCTAGATTCCTTTGCATTTTACTAGCTTTGTTTTCTGTAACTGATTGATAGTAATAGTATATCCCTCTGCTTTCCTTTCAGAGTGACCACGTGAATGCCCTAGAATCGAGGCTTAGAGATAGCTCGCTTTCTCGCTCAAAAATTTCATCGGTAAGAGCTTTTCTGAACTTGATATCTCATTAGTATTTGCAATCTTCAGCAGAGGTTACCTTAATGACTGCTAGGTTATTGCTAATTTAGGCTTTAACTTAAAAACATAAGAGTAGAATTAAGTTTTGAAATATTCGCTACTCAAACTACTGCTATTTGTTGACCATTTCTGATTGAAGTCTTTCTTATTTTGGAGAATTCTCCTTTGAAACTTGAACTGAAGCAACTAGAAAACAAGGTGTGTTAGTTCTTTTTCTTTTTTCCCTTTATATATTTTACTTTCTTCTTTATCTATCGTTTTATGAAGGACAAAAATTTAAATTCTGCAATTAAGCATAAGATTCCACATTATAGGTAGTGTTTTAAATAACAAGGCGCCTTAAGGCCTTGAATATTTTACACCTAGCATTGCAACTCAAGGTGGTATTGCTACACAAGGTAGCATTGCAATCAAGGAATGATACTTTTCCTTTACCTTTGTCATCTATCATTCGCAAAAGTATGTTACGATTTTGCTCTAATATACAAATGCCTATCCCATAGGTTATGCCCGTTCTTCCGTTCGTTACGCTCCTCCTGTCTGTGTTTATGTCTATAAGGCTGGTTGTAATGTTGTTTCTACTGCCTTTAAAGATGTCCCCCATTATCTAATTTTTTGTCCTACTTTTTATAATGACTTTTCGATGGTGAAAATTCCATAAAACGCACACCAGTAGAACTAGTTATATCTAACGAGGAAGTGGGTTTGGTTGTTTGAATGTTCCTTCTGTAAGTTTTCAACAAGACGAAGTTTCAAGGGCAACTCATTTCCTCGTTGGTATTTGAGATGTTGGAGATGTCAATGATTTTAATATTGTGTAGTTTCAAGTGAATTATTTGCCAATTCTACTTTATTTGTATGAAAACATTAGTTCTCTGTTGTTTCTCAAAGTAAGAAAGTGAAAGAAATGTTTACATTTGTGATTCTGAAATTTTGTTTAAGGTTGAAAGTGCTCTAACACGACGAGCCAGGATCAAACAGCTGAATAGATCAGGTTACAAGCATGTTTGAAAGATTTTTGGCAAGGATTTCATAATCAGATTTTGTAAGTAATTTGGATTTTAATGGATGAGCTTTTATCAGCGATTGTAAAAATTGTTAACTTGTTGAAGAGTATTTTGAATTTATATCGTGGTTTTGTATATAAATACAATATCAGTAGATCTATTAAGTCATTTTTCTAAAATGTTTCTAGCTAAGAGTTTTAGAACTTTTCAGATTATATAATAGCACTAAGAATGAATTTAATGATTTTCCCAGGGGTTTAAGCTCAATTCGTGCGCTTCACTGATAAAAGCATTAGCGTGGCAGTGTTTGTATCTTTGGTAGTAAATTTGTTTGGGTTTAAGTGTAGGAATACGTGCTGTAGCTGACATTTTTGTATGGCAAAAAATGTTCGGATTTTGTCTTTTTAGTTTGACAACTACACCTGGCAGATTTTTTTAAGAAAATACCAAAGCCTTGCATATTTAACAGAACCTTTTTTTAAAATGCCCTTTTGTGCTGACGTTTCCTTAAGCAGCAACGGCCGTTGTTTTTGGAATAATTAGCGAAGAATTTTTTTTGCCTAAACTGAAATCTTCATGTGATCAAAATCTAACTCTTTGCTCAAATGAATCTGAGACTACAGATTTGCGTCAAAGATATATTTCTTTCTAAAATCGCATTGAGCAAAGGGATCGCTGGGCGATGTGCCAAGGGCCCTTTAGCGCTGCTCAAATCAATCTCAGACTACAGATTTGCGTCAAAGATCTATTTCTTTCTAAAATCGCATTGATCAAAGGCTCACTGGGCACTGTTCCAAGGGCCCTTTAGCGCTTAGGGGCCCCAAATATTCTGAGATTTGTTCCTAAGTTGGTCAAAAGGCTTGAGACGAAAGGTTTTTATAAAAGATCTTTGACGCAAGATCAAAATCCAAATACCAATAACTCCATAGCAAATAAAGATAAAGAACTGAATCTTGGCAAAGAGAAGCAATTTGATGCGCTGAAAAAGATAAGGGCTAGACCCCAAGTCAAATTTACCCCTAAATGCTTTTTTCAGACTGGGGTGCTCGGACCCAGTCCATTCAAGAACAATAAATCATAACGCTGAAAATAAGCATAAAGAACTCAACTTTGGTGAAGATACGTAGTTTAATTCACTGAAAAAGAGAAGATTCAGACACCAAAACAAATTTGCCCCCAAAAGCTATAACGATAAAAAGCTAGAATTTGTTATATATACGTAGTTTGATCCGCTCAATATGTTGAGAAACAAATCCTAACTCGAAACTGCCCCCGAATGCTATATTTGGACTAAGAGTAATTAGAACCCTGTCCCATAAAGGGATATCCTTTCACAACTCGACTACAAGAAAAAAGGGTAAAGATTTGAAATTTTTTCACAGATACGTAGTTTTGTGTGCAGATTAGGTTAAGAAACATATATTAATCATTTTCTGAAATTTTTCCTAAGATGGCATGAACAGCAAAGTCCCTTGCAAAATGGCTTTTAAAATTCTCAGTACGAGAATAATTCAATTCCCAAGACCGTTTTCTTTCTTATAGGTGCTGTCTGATATTATTAATCAGGATGCACGCCCCCGGTCAACAAATGCTGCCGTCAACTCCACTGCTTATAGAAGCTTCGTCATCGTCCGTTGCCATTTTGAACAGTTGATACTTTCAGCTAATTGCATAATTTGTGAGGGTTGCATAAATTACCACCAGATTCTGGTGGAAACTGCGGACAGGATATTTATCAATATTGCACAGTCCATAAATGTGGCAGCATTTGTGGACTGGGGCGCAGGCTAGCAAAAGACAAGCTCAGCTTGTCAGAAAGCTAAGAACTAATGGTGTAATACCGACGGCATTCTTAATGCACTGGGCGTCTTCCCATAGCCTTGTGCCGACAGCGATCTGGGATCCAGTTTGTTTTTGAATTGGTGTACCCGGATGAAAGGGCCCTGTTTCGGTACAGGCATACTGTACTGTTTATACCCACTTATGTATGTATGTTGTGTTATGTGATTTCGAGTCCTTGCTAGCTCCTCCGCCAATCCACCAGGTAGAGCATTTCGAGACTTGAGATCAGTATGCTCCTTTACACCTTGGTGCCCCGTCACCCATGCCCACAGAGATAATGCCAACAAAGGTATGTTAATGTGCTGTAGCAGTGTATATTGCACTGATTTAGTGTAACCATAGAGGCATATACCATACTTTAAATGTATAAATATTTATGTACATGTATCTATAGAGAATAAGGGTTTGTGACCATATGTTTGTAATTCTTTGTCCTTTATAAAAATACTCCAGTGTTTTTGAGATTTTGACGGATGTAAATGGTGCGATTGTTATATGGTATAATGAAGAGTAAAACAGGACCTTTCAATGGAAACAAATTCCAATTGTGTGTTTTATTAGATTTGAATAGTTGTGACCGCGATAGTCTGATGACCTTGTTGAACTGTTCATTTATATCATTGAACGGATATCCCTTTACGAAGAGGTTGTTTTCTACTTCTTGTTATTTTAAACATAGCTCCTCATCACTGGTGGTAACTCTTCTACTAAGTAAAACTAAATGACGGCTGGATAGGGCCCAAGTTCCCCAGTCCAAAAATAGCATTTTGGGGGCAAATCTGAGTTAGCGTCTGTTTCTAAACTTTGATCAAAATACGTACCTGTGAAAATTTACAGCTCTTTATCGTGATCTGAAGTAGAGTTGTGGTATCAAACGACAATCTTTTTTCTAAATTAACTCTCGTGTAAAAAAGCATGTTTATCAGCTAGTAAACTGTGCTGCTAAATAAGAACATCGAGCCTCACCCCAAAATTATCTGCTTCTTAATAAGAAAGTATATATCTAATATGATTTTAAGTTTTACAGTAATTAGATTTCCTCGATTCACGTCATGTGTGGATACACGATTTGCGGCTCGCAGCGTCATGTTCTCCTTGAATACACACACATTCTCTGGTGATGTGCATTCACGACTACAAGATTGGAGTTGGCAAAAATGGATAAACTTAAATTTAGAAAAGCAACCACTGAGGATTATTTTGGCATCAAAGAGTTGTCTATTGGAGTTTACAATGATACTGACTACGCAACAGCTTCCTTGCCTCAATGGCTTACTGACTTGCGGTGGGTGATATTCGTGGCGGAAGACATACGCGGGCAAATTGTTGGATTCGTTGCTTTTCATCTAATTGATGATTGTCGCACAGTCGTGGAAAGAAGTGCTCGTTTGGAGAAATCCTATCGTGGAAGAGGAGTCTTTATACAATTTTACAAGTTTGCCATTTCTAGTTTGAAAGAGCAGTATCCTTTGCAATCAGAAATATCGGCAAGGGTTGTGGTGCCCATAGGACACAAGGTTCTTCTTCAGCGCTCGTACATGACTGTTCTTTGTCGCCTGGAATCAAACGAAAAGCTTTTATTAAACAGTGAAGGCAAATGCAATGACACTGTGAATGAAACTTCACCATTTAAATTTCTAGCACAAGCAATGCTTGATTGTCATACATGCAAGCATACCGTTTTTAGGAATGGAATTGTCGTGATTGGGGATGAAATTTATCGTCTCAGCTGTGAATCTGATGTGCAATACTTGATAAGTCGCCCTAAACTTTTTTGCGTTACTAAAAGCCAAGAGTCGAATGACGGAAACGAAGATTGCAGTCACTTTCATCGAATTCCGGTTACACCTTGCAAGGAAAATCCCAAAATGAAAGCAAACACCAGCAATGAACCGATAAGAAGTGGGGAAAAGACAACCTTTTGCCATGATGAATGTCTGGGTGACAACAATTTCAACTGTAAATGTGACAGACCTTGTTCAACTTCACAAAGTACAGATGTAGGTACAGCAGGCTGCAGGATGCTCTCAAAAAGATTTGCATTGTTGGACCTTACCAGAAGAGATACAAATCTAGGTTTCCCTTTATATTCTGTTGATTTCTACGGATCTGATGTAGCTTGGGCAACCGAAACGGTCGTGTCGCTGGTTCGTGCTGGCTGGGAGGAGGCAGAATCGAAAACATTTTATCTGACAGTGCAGACACCGTTAGATTTTGAAGAAGAGATGCAGCAAACCTTTCGTCAGCTTGGATGTTGCGAAGTGATGTATAGAGATAAGATGTACATGTTGGAAAGAGATTTGCGTTAAAGGACAATTTGCTATAGCAAAGCTGACTTAGAACGTGCTTTTTAAGCTAAACATTAGTTACAAATGAATCTGTCTTTTTCAATTGTAGGCTGTAGAGATATGTAATCGACTTCAAGTTGAATCGATAGAGCACCAAGTTTTAGATCCAATCTGTCGAATCTAGCTAAGGTAAAGCTCAACAAATTTTACTTGCTTAAGTGCCACTTGAAGTTACGAACGACTGTTTTAGGCAACCAAGCGGCTCACATATCTCATCTTTTTGTTTACATCTAGCCCTTTCATTGTTGATATTCAAATTTATCGATTTGACGATTTGTATTCAATTTATTATATTTGTACTTTCATGATGCTTTCGACAAAGAAGATGGTTCATATCAGAAGCTTTAATTCTTCTATGATGATTTTTGGCTCTCAAACTTAGCTACTGGCAAAACTTGCTTTACCAAAACCAGCAGCTCTTCGATTGATTTCATTTTCGAAAATTGGATGAGAAGTTTCCATACAATCGCATTTTTAGCCAGTTCATACTTACACAATCACATTGTTACAATTCTTAATCCTTGACTGATAAAGTATCCTGACCACAAAAAGCTTGACCCAATTATATTTCGTTCAGATATTATTAGAAGTAATGTTGTCGCCTTGGAGGACTTTGGTGATTGTTGTAATCATCTAGCAACCTCCGAAATGTAGTGGACAAACACGCTGTTTTGAAACCCGAATAGCGCGAGGGAATCGCTCACCGTCAATTACCCTCGCAAAACCAATGTTACACAAAAAGGACAGTTCAAGAAATCGGTATACTTTCACAACCTCGGCCCTTTTGAATTACGGTACACAAAATGCTTGCTCGTTTTGCAAAGGTCCGCATTTTTCGGCCAAAAGTAACGTACAGGCAACAACTACAATGTTTGTTGATTCCAAAAATGCGGTTCTTTTACATACCGCCAAGGCGTATATTTCAAGGCCCAAGGGCTGAAAACCCCGAGTAAAAGGCCGTCGCGCGTTTGATTTTTGACTCTGGCAGTCAACGGTCATACATATCTACAAGGCTGTAGGACTTTCTAGCCCTTTCCAATATTTCCAATATTGCTTAAAACTGTCGCTGCAATAATTGCAAGGTTCGTCTGAACGCAATCGCTTTTAACGTCAGAACTTCAACGTCTGAATCCAATCGCTTTAACGACGTTGAAAAAGCGTTCCATATGGTGTCAGTTCATCTATCTGATAGGGACCTTCTTCGTTTTCTCTGGGTAGTCAGTTCAAATGTTATGTACAGATCTCGTCGTGATGCTTTTGTGATCCCATGTTCACTGTTTCTGTTAAGTGCAACCTTGAAGAACCCTGAGGTGTGTTATAAACTTCTTAATTCGCTTCATACTGATGATGACGTAAACTCCGGAAGAAATTCTATTGAAGAAGTTTTAAATCTTTACGAAGTATCTAAAAACCTCACGCTTGAATGAGGTTTTCTACTCCGAAAGTGACAGCCAAACTCTAAAGAGGTTAAGGACAGAATCAAAACTTTTGAATCCAGTTCTAGCGACTGTGGAGAAAACATTTTATCTACAACTGAAGCAAATCAATCTTTTGCGAAGTCAAATTTATCTTTGGAAGAAATTGATAGTAAATCAAAATGGTTCCTAGGACTAAACTGGGATCTCGAAGGGGATGCCTTAGCTATCAGAACTTGCAAAGTTCGCTGTTGAATTGACTCCTACAAAACGCAATGCATTGAGGATAGTTGCAAAATAATTCGATCCACAAGGTCTCAATTCACCGGGGACAACTCCTCCGGGGACAGCAAAGGTGTTTTTACAGAAACTCTTCAAGGCAACAATGTCTTGGGATGAAACAGTGCCTGAAGCACTTGACAAAAATGGAAATTTCCTATCTCTAAATTGGATGAAGTCGAAACTATTTACGTGCCAAGGTACTCTTTTGGTTCCATCGAGGAGAGACCTGAACTCGTTGAATTTTTAGGCTTGTGAGATAGTTCTGAAAGTGCATACGTAGCTTCAGTGTATGCTAAGAATCTTAAATAACTGTCAACGGCAAAAGTCACGTGAGATTGGTTATGTTCAAATCAAGGGTAGCACCTATATCCAGACTTATTTTATAAAACTACCATTCCAAGACTAGAGCTGCTAGCTTGTCTAATTCTTGCACGATTAATTGATTAATTAACTAATGGACGAATTTGATTTCGGAACTTCTATTAGATACGGGGAGAAGGAAAGAAATGGGAGATGTTTGTTGAAAACCGTGTGCAAGAAATTAGAAAATTGGTCAATCCTAACCTAATATCTCCCCGGGAAGGAGTATCCTGCAGATTTTCCTACTCGCAAATATGATGTCACGAGACTGCAAATGAATGATCTTTGGAGGTCAGGCCCAAAATGGTTAAACAAAGATCTCGAAGATTGGCCTAAAATTGATTGTAGTAGTGAGATGCCGAAGGAATGTGACGGATAAATCTGCAAAGATAATGTCTCACAGGAGAAGTCAAACACTGTTTTGCTCGCTGATTCTGTGCAGAAAAATTCTAAGAGAAATATAATCAAATTTAAAAATTTCAGCAGTATTAAACGTCTTTATTGCGTTACTTTTCATAACTGTAGAAGGAAAATTCAGAAATTCAATGGAGAGCTGTCAGCTGAAGAGATGGCGAAGGCATAATTGTTGTGGATCAAATAAATTTGAAATGGCCTATCTAAACACGAAAGCAAAGAGTTTGAACAGCAACTAGATATTTCCAAAGATGAAGTCGAAATTATTCGTTACGAGGGTCGTCTTAGTAACGCAGACATACCTTTTGAAAGCGAATTCCCAGCACTACTTCCCAGGGATAGTCACCATATAAAGTTAGTGATACAGGATTACCAGAAGCATGTCCTTCACGGTTGAGTAAAAGAAACTCTTTTAGAACTACGTAGTCGCTTCTGGATAGTACGGGGAGAACAGATTGTCAAGAAAGTTATCGGCAAGTGTACTCTTTGCAAAAGGTTACAAGGAATGTTCTACGGAAATCCTAGAGCCGCGGACTTACCGAGCTTTCTTGTGGAAGATTCTATACCATTCAATTCAATCTGAGTTGATTTTCGCGCTACTGTACACCTTGAACTAGTCGATGAATTATCAGCTGATGCGTTCCTCGTGTGTTTTCGTCGATTTACTGCACGTAGAGTTAAACCGTCCTTAGTCATATCAGACAACGCTATGACTTTTAAATCTGCATCAAAGAGGCTCGTGAATTTGTTTAAACTACCAAAAATAAGGAAATTTCTCGCAGAACGAAAAATCAGTTGGAAGTATAATCTACCCAAGGACCCTTGGTTGGGTAGATTTTTCGAGAGATTGATCGAAAGTACAAAGTCATAACTGAAGAAAGAAATAGGATCAGGAAAATAAAATCAAAATAAATTGAACAATGTTCTTGTCGAGATAGAAGCTGTCCTAAATTCGCATCCTTTGACCCATTTGTATCCTTAGATCTCTCTTAGCTTTTAACACTATCGCATCTTCTTATGGGTAGACGTCTTATTTCTTTGTCTTATTCAGTGCGAAAGGAGTCAACAAGGAGTCAGAAGATCAACAAGAATGGGAAACGAAAGAGAACCTAACCAGAAGAATAAATTATCTCTTGTTAACTCTCGAATCTTAAATTACGTTGGAAGAAAGAATACTTGTCAGAACCTTGTGAGCATCACCGAAATCTAAAACGCGATGAACATAAACCTTCCATACATCAAATCAAGATGATATTTCGTCTATTCTGAAATCTCGGAAGAATCGAAGCGTTGATAGACAATCAAATTCGTGGTGCAAATGTAGAACTCTCAAACGGGAACGTTATAGCTCGACCGCTTCAGACATTATACATACTTGAAGATATGTTCGGAACGTTGAGTCGCAAGAAAAATGCCGTTGGAAAGTCGCGACATGAACAACAAAACCCGTGCGAACAGCAGCAGTTGTTGGTGTAGAGAAGAGACATTTAGTTGACCAATATGTAACGTTAGGGTTCTTCTTATGACGGTGAAGTATCAGGTCGTTGGCTGAGCGATGGGCTAGGCCAACGGGCCTAGCCCCAAGTAGATAGCACACAAGAGATACTCGTTATCTGATGTTATGTTTATCGTTAAAACAGTAAGACTAAATTATTCTAACTAGGATTACATTATATTAAAACACAACAAAGGAACACTGTGAAACATCACACAACACGATGACAGTGACGCACATTTCCCGGAAAGGGAGTTACTAACACAACAGCGCGACAAACAAACATGTGACATTAACACGCAACATAATCAAAGATCTAGCTCAACATAATAACAATAATTACTGAAGTTTACTAATGTTAAAACGTTACAAATATTACCTAGCCAAGGGGGAGTGTGAGCGAGGCTACATTGTTTGTAGGTGTGGCCAAATCTGAATTTTTATCTGAACTCTTGAGAACAGTTGTCTCTTTTGCGAGCAGTCGTATATTGTCAACCTTACGAAGAATGAATAACGATAATTTGATAAAACTCTGTGAAATATATCTATTAATGTCAAGCCGAATCGACTTTGCTTGCTGTATGATGTTCTATGATGTTATGGTTGTTTCTAAAGACAACCAACTTTTTACCCTACATCTTTTACGATCTTTATGTTAATATTTACACTTGATTCTGAGTTCAAGTGGGGCTTCTTAAAATGCCTATGGGTTCTAAGTTTAATTGCAAAATAAAAAGGCCTGTCACAGAGCGTTGAGAAAGTATTGTCCTAGATCAGGTTTGACTCAAGGGCGTCGCCAAACGGGGTTGCGGGGGTACCCCTAACACTTTGTTCGACGGCACATTAAGTAATTTTGCCGGGCAAAAGTAACAATTATTTGTACTCACCCTGTAACCTTTTTGTAACAATTGTGACGTAAAAACTTTCAAACCACGGAACTAAAGTATGAACTTTGAAATAAACACGCATAAAAGCAGCATATCACACCCTTAAAGACACGCCCTTGTTGTCGGCAAAAATCACTTCTTCACCCCTCCAAAAAATATTTTTGGCTTCGCCCCTGGTTTGACTTTTAAAGGATGTTTGTTAGTCCAAATAGACCAGAGGGTGGAAGGGGAGCACCACCACCCGAACGGAGAATTTATGAGACCAATCTATTCTGGTTCAGTTTTTTGCGTAGATTTCGAATTTGGGTGTTGATCAACGGTTTAAGGGGGCTTTCCCGAGATATGGGGGATCTAAAGACAAATTTTGGGGTTAATTGCTACAAATTTGGTTTCCTCAATAAATTTCAATAAGATAAAGATAGATATGTTCTTTGACTATATCTATGATTGTTGGCTGATATTTGAAAGTGTTTTTCTATATTTAGAATTTAGGGGGTTAAGGGAGGTGTAAAAAATTAAATTTTTTCCAAAAGAAAACATTACTGTTACAATATATTTGAATACTATCAAGTCTACCTAAAAAATTATTCATCTTCATCCTTATCCTCAGACATATCAATGCCTCTTCTTAAGTCTTCCACTTCTACAAGATCGTAAGCCTCATTTTATAATATAATTTTCATTTTATAATATTTATACAGGTTAAAGGTTCATATAGATGTTTTTCAACCTGACCTGTTTAAAAGATTAAAATAAGAGCTAATAACTATGTTAAAATACTAGTAACCGAAGAAATTTACCAATCAAACCTAATTTACAATATTTAATAATACTAAGGCTATAAAAAGTGAACGTAAAGATGAAATAAAAGTTGTCCCCGACTATAGTTGTTCTTTGAAGGTTTTCAAGGAGGGGGCCAATTTTGTAGCCCTTTCTAGACTGTTCCACAGTTTTGGACCGCGATAAGAAAAAGCCTTTTGGCCATTTATCGTTTTTAGCAGCGGTATCTTGAGATCAGTTTCTGATGAACGCAGAAACCGTTCTCTATCATCCGAACATTTTTCGAATATTTTTCTCAAGTAGTCTGGTGCAAGCATATTTAGAGATTTGTAAGTTAGCGTGGCTGTCTCCTTTCTTACAAGATTTCTGATGGTTAACCAGCCAAGATTCTGAATTATCGCAGCAGCAGACGCATCGTATGGGCTGCTAGTTACAATTCTGGCAGCTCTATTTTGGATTTTTTGCAACACGTCAAGCTTTGATTCATTACAGCAGCCCCAAACGGAACAACAGTAGCTCAAATGGGGCTCAACAATTCCTCTATACATTTTGATGAGGATGTCAGATGGAAGATATTTCTTAGAATACTTAATAAGTCCAAGGGCTCGAATAGCCTTGGTCTTGATAGTATCGATATGCTTGTCCCAGTTGAGCTTACTGTCTATCTGAACACCTAAGTATCTTGTGTTGGTGATCATTTCAATGTTCTGATCACCTATTGAAAAAGAAAAAGATGGTGGAGCATCAGGCTGGCTTTCGATCTTACGGATGTTTGGACCAGAGCCTATAACAAGTGACTGCGTTTTCACTACGTGCAGGGAAAGTTTATTTGCATGCAGCCAATCCTGTAGTTTCAAAAGATCTAAGTAGTTTCGAACATCCTCTGGATTTTGCGAAAGAAATTCATTAAACAGAATTAGAAAAGTCACCTTTCCACACGTGGTGTACTTGAGCCTTCTTGCTCTATCATTGGTTAAGAGGCTTGTCTGCACATATGTGCAATGTAATTTGCAACGCTTGATGTATCTCAAAAGGCTGTTTTTGCATGGTGGCTGCAAAGAGAAGTCTGTGATTTTTGACCCCTTGAAAAATTTTTCCAAAAATTTTTCCGTTGAATATCATGAACAGACGATAATCTCTTTTCTCCAAACAACGTACACGTAAACCTTTCAATACCCCCAATTACATAATTTATAGGATTACTTGATGTCCCTAGCTTTGCGAAAGTTGTGACGAATGCTTTTGTGCCTTGCATAAGCTTCTAACTTTTTCTAAAAAATACCTACCTACCTACCTTCCTTTCTACCTTCCTCCCTATCTACTTACCTACCTACCTCCCTATCTCCCTTTCTACCTACCTACTTACCTAGCTACATACCCACCTATCTATCCATCTACCTACCTGCTTTCCCGGACATCGAGCAGCCCCACTTCATATACACACTCTTCTTACATGAAAATAACGAAATATAGTCATTTCCACTAAATGCATGCAAGCCAAGCGGGGCTTCTTTTTGAAAGGCCGATAATTCACAAGCAGCTAGAGCGAAGATTATTCTATTTTTACCTGTCCCACTATCAATAAATATTTAGAAATGAGGTTCCTGCCTAGCAAGCAAGATAACAGGGATGTTAATATATCTCCAAAACAAGAACGCAAATCGTTTCTCGACCTTCGTTTTGTTGGAGAGCATGATGTAGAAGGAAGCAAACTTAAGCTAGTGATATTTATGCAGCGATATCTATATATATTTTTCTCTTTGCGAGAAAAAATGATCACTCTGTTCCCTAAATGACAGCCTTGACGAACCCAGACTTCTTTAACCAACTTAAACAACCGCTCTTTATTCTGTCTTTTCCTCAGAAACGAAACGAAGTTAGGAGGAATCTTTATGTTTGGCGATTTGATGAAGAAATGGTTCTCTGCTCTCCGAATGCAATATATACACAGTTGTATTGTGTCCGTAATTCATTCAGCAACTTCGTTGCAAGCCTCCTGAAAGTGTCCGGTATTCTAACTGTAGATCGAATGGTGGCAACCAAATCAACAACAAAGCAAATTGCCTATCTCCTCTTTTCTGTTCTTCATAAGGCTGGTAACTGTGGTATTTATATGTGCCTCATACTTCTAAGTACCTGAGCTTCACGAGACAGCGAGGAAGGGGATACTATCACCGAACTCGGCTTCTAACCCCTTTTTAACTTAGTCTGCTGTTCTCGTTAATGAAACAATACATTCCAGTTAAAGTCTTCATTGCGATGGATCGGTTCATGATTTGTTATATATGAACATACAGGAAAGAGTCAGCTTACACTGTTCTTCGCTTGTTTCAAGTACTTCGTTAGTGGGATCGTGGACAGCTGTAGAAGTAAGGGTAGTCGACTTCTTACTACAAAATACTGTGTACTTATTATACCAGGAAAGCTTGACCCTCTCTTAATGCTGGAGCTTTTTGCAGAGTTCGGCATGATGAAAGTTTATATAAGTTTCAATAGTTGCTTCTTCCCCTTATTAACATTGATAGGCCCTTGTTATTAGGCGCTTGCTTTCGTCACTGTTTTCTTTTTTAAGGAGATGCCTTTTTGCTTACTTTCTTCCCCTTTTGCGTTTTGTTTGCAAAGACAGATACGGCCTTCGTAAAGTTCAGGTAAAGCTGGCGATATCGTTAAAAGGCAAAGGATCTTATCTTCAATGACTAAATGAGTGCAATGAACAGCTCATCTTCTTTTTCTGTTTGCCATATATTCTAACTACTTTCATAGTTTACTCTTGCTTTAATCACAGAACATTGAAAATTATAATGAATTTGTAAGCAATGAAATTGCAGTTTTTAGGTCATTTGAAAGAAAATCCAAACCTCTACACTTTTACACCCTCAATGGTCTTCAATGTTGACAGGTAATTATCGTTTAAGGCTGTGAAGTACATACAAGTTACATCCTAGGTTATGACACAAAACCATGTGTTAAAGTACTTCTCATAAAGATTTGCTTTTGGGCCTCATTTCCTTTCTGATCCATAGCAATAAAGCTGTAGTTATATGAAAATCTTCAAATCAGTCATTAAACATGTCTGAGAAACCCACATTCCTGGTGAGTACAAACAGCCATTTCCCTATGTGATCATGCTACAGTACTCCATTCAGTTGCGAAAAATCAGTTTTTCGTGGAATTTACAGTATTTTGTACTCCTGTTTCGTTTTCTATGGCCCCCTCACTTCCAAATGGGAGTCAACAAGCATAGACAACAAATGGGAGTCAACAATCAAAAAACTGACTTGTCTATATTTTATTGACATTTATATTAGCCCTGAAATCGGACTTTAGACCCCCTATATCTCTGAAAAGCCCCCTAAAACGAGAGATCAACACCCAAATTCGGAATCTACAGGAAAAACTGATCCAGAATATATTGGTCTCATAAATTCTCCGCTCGGGTGGTGGTGGTCCCCTTCCACCCTCTGGTCTAAAAGGGAATATGCACAAGTTGCGTAATCAAAAATGATATATCCGAAAAATCCCCTACTCTCCAAATTATACTTTCAACAAGTGTTAACAATTGGCTATAATGGCCGTAAACGTTTGTTTTAATCCCCAATCTTCTAAGCTTGGTTTCCACTATGGGTTAACGTGAGATAATTCTGAGCTAAATTGAAAATTAACTCATGGTCTAAATTCAAGTTAACTTGAGATAGTGTGAAATAGCTTGAGATAACGCGAGCTATCTCAAAATTAACCCATGTACCGATTCGGTTTCCACTTGAGATAGAATTAAGTATGGAAATTTCAGAAATCACATTTTATTTGAGTCTTCCAGCTATGGCGGGCGTCTTACAAGAACAACTTATTTTACTTCTGCTTTTGAGAATACTTAGAAGGAAAATATTTTTTGCTAGAAGTGCCGTTCGCGATCTGCGCCAAGGTTTTCGGTACGGAAAGTCTACCAAAAAAGATATGCGTTTGGTGAATGCGACCACTTGGAATGGGAACTTAGAAATGAGAACATGCTTCTCTTATTTCACAATTGATTTTTTTTAGTAAAGAAAACTGTTTTCAACATCTGAAGTAATACTCAGTGCAAGTGCGTTGCGTAAAGACCCCAGTGCAAATTATAGCACATTCCCTTCCCACGCATCGGCTTCTTTTGATAAGATGTTATCTCAAGCTAACTCATGAGCTTGAAATCAAAATTTTTGTTGAATTTTTGTTTCCAAGCTCATGAGATAACGTGAGTTAACACGAGTTAATTTTCATGAGATAATTTTTAATGACCGTTTCCACTATGAGATAATTTTTAAACCATGTCAGATCACAAAATTATCAAATAGCTTCCGTGCTTGGGTAAAAATAGGGAATTAATTCTCTTTGGAACTGTGGAATCATTTGGTACTTTTAAAAGGGAATCTAAGGCCACTGAATGAAATATTTATCATTGTTTTGCTCAACTTATTTTTTGGAAACAACTAAAAAAACTCTAAAAACATACATGTATCAAACTGATAGTCTTTTGCGTGGAGGGCACAACCTGAAGGGGATATGCCTATAGACATTGAGTTTTAGGACATCTTCTATGGCTCTACTAACCCCCAAGAGCTCTAACAATCAGTAAATTCAATTGTTTAATCGATTCTTTATACTACAGTCATACTGTTATTTCTAATCACTTACAGTCTTAGGTGCATTCAATAGCAAGAAATAATTCTAAAATAATGTTAATGCGAAGCTAGAACCTTGTGAAATCAACTCTTATGATGTTCTCAAGAAGAAATCAAAATAAATGCTGCAGATTGACATGTTTCTAAAGAGTAGATATTTTATAGACAGGGAATTTTGCATAACCATCTTGCAACCAGCCTAACCGAAATTTTTAAGGTTTAAATCATTAAGCCTCGGGAACCTTCTGGCAGAAGACCGGAAGTCATGTCCTCGTTACAAGCTTTTCTGACGGTATCATCAGGTTTAAAAAATTCGAATGTCAAAATTTTGCTGACCGTTCATTTTTTATGCTTCCAGTAAAGCGACTTCTGGTCACCTACCAGAATATTTCCAAGGCTTGAAATGATCAGTGGCCTTTATTTTTATGATTTAAACTTTCATCGAGTTTAAAAAAACAGTTGGTGTGGGCCAAATTCTCTTTGCAGTTGCGTGTTTGTGGCTTTTCATAAAATTGCCTTGCCTAACTTATAATCACTTTTAGCATTGGCGCCATCAATCAAAGATATGGTCAGAAACAAAGACATTTTAAAGATAAGAATAACTTAATAAAGCAATGTGGATAAAAACATGTTGATGATGCTATTTGGTGTTCTCGTCTATTTCGTTGAGATATTATAAGCCAAAAGTATTTGCGGTAGATTTTATGGGTATTTTTCCTAAACGTGAAGTATGAAAAGCCTTTTAAACCCCTAAAAAGATTGAAAGATTAAAAGAACAACCCAAATGAAATATGGTTGGTATCTTAACAGGTCTACAGATCAATAGTCACTTGAGTCAATGCTTTAGATCAATTGTCTCTTATATCTTCAAGTATTTGTAATTACAAACGTACATGTCCACCCCAGTCCACCCCGTGGCGACGTCACTGAGTAAGGCTTCTCGGCAGTGGCGGCGCCGAGGGTGGAGTAGTTGCCCCCACTTTTGTCAAAACATCGTCTACATACTTCTTCTACAAACGGATTGAAACGCGCTAGGAAGGGGTAGTTCATATTTCCTAAGGAAAATTAATCTGGCACAAAGCACTGAAATGAGGAAAAGAGGGGCGTGGTCTCACATGGCCACGCCCATTACCTTCCCACTCTGCAGTAGCTGGCGCCGCCACTGCTTCTCGATGCTACCACAGTTACGATACTGCTGTCGATAACACAAAATATGTCCTTTTGAAGATGTAAAAAACCTTGGAGAATTTGCTGATCGCCTTCAATGAATTACACAATAACAAGTAATTGGGAAACTTTGTAATTTTATCTTAATTTCGCTTAATTGGCTAAGACAATTTGCCTTTTGAAAATTTTCAAGTTTGAGAATATAACTTGAGGCAAAGGCGCACCAGGATATTTCCCGCTGTCCCACTTAGCCGGTCTGCTTCTGTTTCACATGACCTTTGATCGTTTACGTTTAT